CAAACATTTATGTATTGGCGTTTTAGTAAATTACATCACAAATTACATAATGTTTCCTTTCTGAACTTAGATCAAGGTAAAGAAAACGATATGAGCATCATTTATTTTATTGTGTGATATATTTAAAATATACCACTAAGTTTTAGACTTGTATCCATGCAAATCACTTTACAATCAATTTAGTGCATGTGTATAGGTAAATTAATACACATGTATTAAATATATTGTATAGGTAAATTACCCCAAATATATCATATATATTGTATCTATAATTAAATTACCACAAATATATGACTAAAATGATATACAACATAATTGATAATTGTTCCCTGTGAGACATTTATTCACCATCAGCAATTTCTAGTTCCCCTAAAAAATAAAGACTTATATACGTTAAGAAATATTAATTAACTCATTAATATCACCGGAAGACAGTAGAGTATATATGAGCTGCGTCACGACAAAACCAACATAGTGCGTTTGCGACCAGCATGGATCCAGACCAGCCTGCGCATCCGCGCAGTCTGATCAGAATCCATGCCGTTCGCTACCAACCCTATAACAAGTAGAGAAACTGATAGCGCACAGCATGGATCCTGATCAGACTGCGCGGATGGGCAGGCTGGTCTGGATCCATGCTGGTCGCAAACGCATTATGTTGGTTTTGTCATGACGCGGCTCATATATTCCTACAACAAAACTGTTAGCAGATATGGAATGAAGGGGAATTAATGCGTTCATCATAATGTTACCATAATTGATTAAAATGTTCCCTAGGTAAGTATGTTATTGTTAAATTAGGTTCAGACATTAAACAGATTTATTTTTTTCAGAGATAATAATTGCACTGATACTCGTATATATCTAGAATTATTAATCATCTCAAGACACATAGAATTATTCATAGTCGTGCAGCAATACCCAAATTAAAAGTCTGAATGTAACAAATCCAATTTTTCTTCAAAACTTACAACAAAATCATGGTAAAATCTACATAAAATGTTAATGGTCAGATACATCAAGATAAAAGTCATTAAAAGTGTAAAGTAAAGGAAAAGTTCGAGACGTCCTTTAATTCATCAGAGAGAAGTATGATATTTTGGCTTGAAATAAATCATAACTATAACGACTACATCTAGACATAAACTTCTCATTTATTCAGCCACACTATGAAATTAATATCAAGCAAAAACAACTCTCCAGACTGATCATTAAATTAAAACTTTTGTTAAACCGCAAAACAAAAATAGATAATTTGAATGTTGTTCAAACTGACTCTACTTTGCAATATATTAATTATTCAATAAGTCGTTCTTAGCAAACTATCTTTTTTTTCATACCTTGAGTTGAATGTAAGCTACAGTATAAGTTTGGCATTTTGGATATCAAGAAGCCAATATCGCTTTGATCTTGAAAAATATATTTGCGTTGTTGTACAATAATACCTATATATAGTTCATTGTTAAAATGTATGACTACCGTGTTTGTAATCTGAACTGAACTGCTGATGTACAGTAGCGCTCTCAGAATTTATAATCATGAAGGTTTATTTACTAAACAATGATGCGACGCAAAATCCCTTAAATTTACAGCTTCACAACTTCCCCTTTGTCCGGTGCACGTCGCTGAGACTTGGCGGGCAATAAACTTAAATTACTCTACCCGTTCTCGGAACTGCTACTTCGTCGACGACTGGGGACCAGCTGCCGATGTCAAGACTAAAGCCGAGGGGAGTGGCCCTATATGTAGGCAGAGACGACGAAGATGGTGTGCTAGGGTGTGTGAGACTCTACCTAAGATAGACAGCTCGTAAGGCAGGCCCTTTGCTTGGCACCAAGTTACTGTACATTTATGTTCTCATTGACGGCCGTACAGTGACCTTCTTTTGGCTTAATTCATTCTTAATACAACGTGGAAATTGCATGGAGGTAAATCATCACCACTTTGTGCTTCAAAATTAACTCTTTAAGGACATGAGTGGTGACATGTCCGGGGTCTGTACTCGACAGCTCAAGCTGCTTTTTGTGCCTTACCGGGCGCTCGTTAAAGATAGACTACATGTTTACAGGGACTGTTAAAAACAAGGCAAGTTCAGTTTGTGTACAAATACAGACGGAATATTAACTAGCAAAGCTGGATAGCAAAAATAAAACAACCATCTTATAAATGATTTCACAAAATTTATTAGAACAAGTTGAGTTTCACATAAAACACATTCTAAGCAACACAACTGTATTGATGAGAGAAGCAAAATAAAATAACCGAGATTGTTTATATTTAGAAAAACTGATTTAATTTTATCACAGATAATCATGGTCAAAATAGATTTACAATTACAATTTCTTACTTCTGACAGCCAAATAATTTGTTATCATGTGCAGACAAATCAAATACATATCAAAGAAGAGAGAAAAAATGATTTCGGAAACATCGTTCAGAAGCTCTTATTGATTTAAAATATGATTACGATTATGCGATCCAAAAAAGACATACAGTGTAACAGCTAGTAGGTGGAAGAAATACATGTATTATATGTTACACACAGGCATTGTCCATATCCAAACAAGTAAAATCAACATATAAACTGTGGCACAATATGATTAAATAAAATATCAAGAAATGTATATTTTGTAAAAATAAAAATAAAATAAATATAGAGTCTATAATTTAAGAGCTATCACATTTGAATTATGGGACATAAAATATCACTTTGAAATGAAATCTTGTTCATCAAACATTCATTAAAACATTTAAAAGTAAAGTTTGTGTGGTAAAATGAGCCTGATAATAATTAAATGTCATTCATTAAAAGTAAAATCATGCAACAATTAAATGTCAATTATGTATGACAATGTGATACAGGAGTTATACACTAGACTGAGATAACTTTCCCATAAAACTTACTGACAAATGACCAAAAAGTAAACACTGCTTCACATTATGATTTGATAAATATAATAAGCTTATAAAATATTATGAAGTAAGTAAAACTATCATATATATATATAAATTGTTTACAACAATTCTAAGATACCACTATATACTAGATCTAGTTGGGTTTTTTAGTGTTTCTTTTATTATTAAACTATGCTATTGGTCTAGATGTATTTTTACGATAGCATTAAAATGTAGAAGATTTCAAACCTTCCATACCATAATCAAACATTAAACTGTAAATGAGATCCAATGATATGTGGTATTATGTAACAAGTTTATTTATTATGTGCAAAAACTCATTACAGGATAAAACAAGAGGGCCATGATGGCCCTGAAGTCGCTCACCTGTATATAGGCCCCTGGAGCGGGGCCAGTTTAAACCCCAGGGCTTTTATTTGAACTAACTTGGTAGACACCCATTAGAAGATATTTCATGCTTAACATCCAAGGTCTAGCTGGTCAAGTTTTTTTCTTTACACATATAGTTAAAAACAATGACACACCTGGGGCAGGGCCAGTTTTGACCCTAGGGGTTTTATTTGAACAATCTTTGTAGACACTTACTAGAAAATGTTTCATGCTTAATATCTAAACTCTAGCTATTCGGGTTTTTTCAAAGAAGACTTAATTTTTTGCTATACACATATAAGGAAAATCAATGTCAGCCGGGACAGGGCCAATTTTGACCCCAGGGCTTTTATTTGAACAAACTTTGTAGACACTCACTAGAAGATGCTTCGTGCTTAATATCTTAACTCTAGCTATTTGAGTTTTTTCAAAGAAGATTTTTTTGAGTTTTTGTATAACACATATAAGGTAAAGGAATGACCCCCGAGCGGGGCCAATTTTAACCCCAGGGCTTTTATTTGAACAAACTTGGTAGACAATCACTAGAAGATGTTTCATGCTTAGTATCTAAACTTTGGCTATTTGGTTTTTTTTCAAAGAAGATTTTTTAAGTTTTTACTATATGCATATAGGGAAAATCAATGACCCCCTGGGGCGGGGCCAATTTTGACCCCAGGGCTTTTATTTGAACAAACTTGGTAGACATCCATTAGAACATGTTTCATGCTAAATATCTTAGCTCTAGCACTTTGGGTTCTTTAAAAGAAGATTTTTTAAGTTTTTACTATATGCATATAGGGAAAATCAATGACCCCCTGGGGCGGGGCCAATTTTGACCCTAGGGCTTTTATTCGAACAAACTAAGTAGACACCCATAAGAAGATGTTTCATGCCAAATATCTAAGCTCTAGCTCTTTGGGTTCTTTAAAAGAAATTTTTTTAAGTTTTAACTATATGCATATAGGTAAAATCAAAGACCCCCTCGGGCGGGGCCAATTTTGACCCTAGGGCTTTTATTTGAACAAACTTGGTAGACATCCATTAGAACATGTTTCATGCCAAATATCTAAGCTCTAGCTCTTTGGGTTTTTTAGAAGAAGATTTTTTAAGTTTTTACTATATGCATATAGGGAAAATCAATGACCCCCTGGGGCGGGGCCAATTTTGACCCTAGGGCTTTTATTCGAACAAACTTGGTAGACACCCATAAGAAGATGTTTCATGCCAAATATCTAAGCTCTAGCTCTTTGGGTTTTTTAGAAGAAATTTTTTTAAGTTTTTACTATATGCATATAGGTAAAATCAAAGACCCCCTGGGGCGGGGCCAATTTTGACCCTAGGGCTTTTATTTGAACAAACTTGGTAGACATCCATTAGAACATGTTTCATGCCAAATATCTAAGCTCTAGCTCTTTGGGTTTTTTAGAAGAAGATTTTTTAAGTTTTTACTATATGCATATAGGGAAAATCAATGACCCCCTGGGGCGGAGCCAATTTTGACCCCAGGGCTTTTATTTGAACAAACTTGGTAGACACCCATAAGAAGATGTTTCATGCTAAATATCTTAGCTCTAGCACTTTGGATTCTTTAAAAGAAATTTTTTTAAGTTTTTACTATATGCATATAGGTAAATTCAAAGACCCCCTGGGGCGGGGCCAATTTTGACCCTAGGGCTTTTATTTGAACAAACTTGGTAGACATCCATTAGAACATGTTTCATGCCAAATATCTAAGCTCTAGCTCTTTGGGTTTTTTAGAAGAAGATTTTTTAAGTTTTTACTATATGCATATAGGGAAAATCAATGACCCCCTGGGGCGGGGCCAATTTTGACCCCAGGGCTTTTATTTGAACAAACTTGGTAGACATCCATTAGAACATGTTTCATGCTAAATATCTTAGCTCTAGCACTTTGGGTTCTTTAAAAGAAGATTTTTTAAGTTTTTACTATATGCATATAGGAAAAATCAATGACCCCCTGGGGCGGGGCCAATTTTGACACCAGGACTTTTCTTTGAACAAACTTGGTAGACACTTACTAGAAGATGTTTCATGCCAAATATCTAAGCTCTAGCTCTTTGGGTTTGTTAGAAGAAGATGTTTAAAGTTTTTTCTTTTGGTTGCCATGGCAACCAGAGTTCTGCATGGAATTAAATTCTTTGAACAATTTTTAAAGGTGACCACCAAAGGAACATTCCTGTGAAGTTTGGATGAAATTGGCTTGTTGGTTTATGAGGAGATGTCATTTAAAGCAAAAGTTTACAGACGGACGGACGGACGACGGACGGACGCCGGACGAAAAGCGATCACAAAAGCTCACCCTGTCACTTTGTGACAGGTGAGCTAATAAAAGCACTGATTCATAATGTTCACTGTTAATAACAAATATGTTCACTGTTTTGATACAATGGTCTATGTTAAAGTACAATGTATTATATTTATAACTAAAATGTACACTCTTTCTATAATTATGTTCACTTTTTTATGTTCACTTTTCTATTTAATGTTCACTGTTACAGTATGATAATTATATCTTGCATGTTCACTGTTTTTATATAATGTTCACTATTTCAGTATGATAATTATATCTTGCATGTTCACTGTTCAATATAATGTTTAATGTTACAGTATATATGTATGATAGATATTAACTTTCCTATTTAATGTTCACTGTTACAGTATATAAGTACCGTACATGTTCACTGTTCTATATAATGTTAACTGTTACAGTATACTATAAACTGTGTGTTATATAGTCCACAGATATGTGCAATATTCTCTACTACAACAGCAGTGTGTTCACTGTCACTATGTTTTAATGAAATACATGAAGTATGATAAAAACATGTTTATTTTGTTCACTGTTTAATATGACAATTATTGCTTTTTTTCAAAATAAGACTTTCAGTTTCTGATCTTCAAGTAGTTAAGTTATCTATCACTGGTGCTAGAATAACAATTCTAACCGGCAACTTTAGTTAACAAGATGTTATAAAGAAGAAGATAACATATAAAATGAACATTATCAACATTGTATAAACACAACATTTCACTCAATTGTTAGTTTGTTAACAATCACATTACCTAATAAACTAAAGACCAGACTAAAAAATACCTACAAGTATTTTAGAAAAAACATTAAGAAATTTCTGTAAACTGATGAAAACTATCAGTTTCTCATACTAAAAACATTCATCATCTAGATAATACATTAAATTATAATATTTATTTATAGGTATGTGTAACTCACAACAACTTTCTATATGTGAACATGTGATTACAAATATTTCTACAACTAGTTATCAACTCTCTACAGTCAATTTTCTATACTTCTACTTCAAGAAATAACTTATTGTCTTTATTTTTCTATACAGTATATATCATAGAACATTATTATGGCAAGAAAATTTATATTTCATACAAACATTAATGAACATCTCGCTAGGAAACTCCAGACATATTTGAGCTGTGTCATGACAAAATCAACATAGTCCGTTTGCGACCAGCATGGATCCAGACCAGCCTGCGCATCCGCGCAGTCTGATCAGGATCCACAAACCCTATTACAAGTAGAGAAACTGATAACGAACAGCATGGATCCTTATCAGACTGCGCGGATGCTGGTCGCAAACCCATTATGTTGGCTTTGTCGTGACGTGGCTCAATTTTATTTAATAAACTTTAATTATAACCACCCCTACAACCTTCTATAATAAATCATTACTGTTCCAGAAACATGTCATTAGGAAAAAAAAACAACACAACAGCAAAATATTGGAAGACAAAAATATCATATATGATTATATCATCATAATACAATAGGGGTGTCACGTTTAAATGGGTTCAGTCAGTTTATAACCAAAAACAGGTTTGAAAATTTAATAACCAAAAAACTGAACTCGTATAAGACCAACAGATTAAGAAATTTAAGATTAATTTTTAACATAACTTTTGTTTCTTTATGACAAGATATGACATTGTGTTTGAATCTCAAATGTACTTTTTCTAATTTTTCTGATTGCAGGCTATCTTATCTTATCAGTTTCTCAATAATCAGATGTTATGTAATTGTTTTTAAGTATAACAAAATACAACAAAAATGTATTATCTTACAATAAAAAAAGAACAAAGTTAAAAATTAAAATCAAAGATTTTTTTTTGTATGGTCCTTTAAATGTTTAACACAGTTATTAAGTTGCCGTTTCAACGGTTGGCATTTTGCTAATTGTGACACCCCTATAATACAATACCGAACATATAACCTGATATTGGTGTTATACTAATGTATATGAAGATATTTTATCACCTATCACAGCAGTTTTATCTTAATACAATGTACAGTATAACCCGTAATCTCTCTGCTTATTAAGAGAAATCAAAACCAACTGTCAACATAGTTCACATTAAGGTGTGACCATCCTAATGCATTACCTCTGCTTTGAAGAGTATTCAAGGATGGTCATACCTTAAAATATGTGTCCATATACAGAAAAAATCATGCCCTATAAGAAATGTAAGATCAAAGATCAATTTTTACTTTATAGAAAAAACTAATCAATGAACTAGATACAAATAGATCAAACCTTCAATTCTTAAAAAAAATTCAACCTGTCTAAAAATATATGTCAGATCTTATATCTGTATCTTATAAAATAAAAAAACAACAATAAATACAAGACATTCCTATAAATTATGTTAAAATTCACAATAAAACTTTATTCTTAACTCATTGTATCCCAATATTATTATTTTTCTCCATAGGATGACCTTAACCTACTGCAAACAAGGGTGGGACAACAATTATCATAAACACTCTAGTGTGATTTTAACAGTGACAATAGTTAACACAATATTTCTACAACACTAACTCAACACTTATACAATATGTAATATAAATGTATGGTAAAACAAGACAATTTATCTAGTATAAAAATGCTGAAGGAATTGTAGCAAATTTTAGATAATGCTTATAAAGAAAACAGAACTGGTAAAACCATCAAATTGTCACAAAAAACAATAACGATTTGCCTTGAGTACATGTATGATGTAATGCCTTTATAATATGTGTATAAATACCTAAACACCATTATTAAATGATAACATTGTTAAAAGATATAAAATGATACCATTTGTCTTTAAAAAAAAGATCTTAAAAGCTGACATTAACATTAAATTGCAGTTTTAACTATTTTTTAAATTGCAGTAATGCTTATAAAATGCTTATATTGATATAGAAGGGATTTAAATGTAATTAATACATCTGAATATTTTTAAAATCAAATATCTGTACTGTCCCTTATTAACTGATACATGTTTTTTCAACACACATGTGACATATAAGTTGCCATTTTTGGTTTCGTATTGAGTCAAACTCACACTGTAGAGTCAATTTCAAGCTTTACTGGTGTTTTGTTTGGTTTAATGGCGCACAGTTTAGGTCATATGGTGCTGAAAATTTACTGGTGGAGGAAGGGGAAGAGAGCAGAAGCACTTATCTATGCATTATTTTAGGCACAAAGGAGGAGAAACCATGACAATCCATAAGCTAGCTGGGCAGCTTTATCAGCAATGAGAAGCAAGAGGCATGAAGTCAATAGTTATACATAACTTGCTTAACTGTGTAGAAACAAAACCATCAAATGTGAAAATCATAACCATTAAGTTTTCTTAATCAAAATCTACAACAAAATATAGATGCATGCCGATTAATATATGACCAGCAGCTTTCATTAGATCAAATGATAAATGGTAGGGACTACAGTAGAGACATTGATCTCATTGTTATGTTTATACAAGCCGTACCAATAGAGTTTAAAATGGTTTAAGTAATTCATTTACTAACACAATCAATTACCTATACATGTATATACTTAACAAAAATGCTGCATGAATACCTTTTAATACTTTCGCCTTAAATCAGTCAAAATTGTTCATTAGAGGTAAAGATTTGACAATTTTTTTCTCAAATTTATCTTTCACTTATCCAGTGATGATTAATTTGAAATGATCTTTAACAAAACAAAACCTGGTTTAAACAGGATCACTTTGTTTTTAAGTTAAATAAATACACTAAAAGCTAACAATTGAATACTGTAACTCTTAAGGTCACTTATAACTGTTGCTGTTTATACATTGTTGAACTGCATTCATCAGTAATCTACCCAAAATATGTTCAGTTTATTAGGATTGATATTTGTGGGTCTTGGTGGTGGTCGAAGATTTCCAGCTTGACGTAAATATGTCTCTAGATTTACCAAACCTGAGCTACCCTGTAATATATGTAAATAATATCTTATAACCTGGAGATGTATAAAAATATTAGTGAATTTATTAAGAAAATAACACCAATCCTTTAATATAAATCTTTTTTTAGGTAAAAGGCATGTTTCTGTAAAGCAAATCAATTATAATAAGATTAAACAAATTGCATTAAACCAATTACAAGTAAAAGAGAACAAACAAGAGCTGTCGGTAGGACAGCAACGCTCGACTATTCTTAGTGCTTGATAGTAAAAAAAATGCTTGATAGAGTTACCTCCTCCTGTTTACAGGTTGGGGTCATGATGGTGAACAAGTGTGCAAAGTTTCAAAGCCATATGTCAATGGACTTTGAAAATATTTGAACTATTACAAAAACTTTAACGTAAATTCTAAGTCGAAAAAGGGGCTTAATTCTGTCAAAATGCTTGATAGAGTTACCTCCTACTGTTTACAGATTGGGGTCATGATGTTGAACAAGTGTGCAAAGTTTCAAAGCCATATGTCAATGGACTTTGAAAATATTTGAACTATCACAAAAACTTTAACGTAAATTCTAAGTCGAAAAAGGGGCATAATTCTGTCAAAATGCTTTATAGAGTTACCTCCTCCTGTCTACAGGTTCGGGTCATGATGGTGAACAAGTGTGCAAAGTTTCAAAGCCATATGTCAATGGACTTTGAAAATATTTGAACTATTACAAAAACTTTAACGTAAATTCTAAGTCAAACAAGAGCTGTCGGTAGGACAGCAACGCTCGACTATTCTTAGTGCTTGATAGTAAAAAAGATGCTTGATACAGTTACCTCCTCCTGTTTACAGGTTGGGGTCATGATGGTGAACAAGTGTGCAAAGTTTCAAAGCCATATGTCAATGGACTTTGAAAATATTTGAACTATTACAAAAACTTTAACGTAAATTCTAAGTCGATAAAGGGGCATAATTCTGTCAAAATGCTTGATAGAGTTACTTCCTCCTGTTTACAGGTTGGGGTCATGATGTTGAACAAGTGTGCAAAGTTTCAAAGCCATATGTCAATGGACTTTGAAAATATTTGAACTATTACAAAAACTTTAACGTAAATTCTAAGTCGAAAAAGGGGCATAATTCTGTCAAAATGCTTGATAGAGTTACCTCCTCCTGTTTACAGGTTGGGGTCATGATGTTGAACAAGTGTGCAAAGTTTCAAAGCCATATGTCAATGGACTTTGAAAATATTTGAACTATTACAAAAACTTTAACGTAAATTCTAAGTCAAAAAAGGGGCATAATTCTGTCAAAATACTTGATAGAGTTACCTCCTCTTGTCTACAAGTTGGGGTCATGATGGTGAACAAGTGTGCAAAGTTTCAAAGCCATATGTCAATGGACTTTGAAAATATTTGAACTATTACAAAAACTTTAACGTAAATTCTAAGTCGAAAAAGGGGCATAATTCTGTCAAAATGCTTGATAGAGTTACCTCCTCTTGTCTACAGGTTGGGGTCATGATGGTGAACAAGTGTGCAAAGTTTCAAAGCCATATGTCAATGGACTTTGAAAATATTTGAACTATTACAAAAACTTTAACGTAAATTCTAAGTCGAAAAAGGGGCATAATTCTGTCAAAATGCTTGATAGAGTTACCTCCTCCTGTCTACAGGTTGGGGTCATGATGGTGAACAAGTGTGCAAAGTTTCAAAGCCATATGTCAATGGACTTTGAAAATATTTGAACTATTACAGAAACTTTAACGTAAATTCTAAGTCGAAAAAGGGGCATAATTCTGTCAAAATGCTTGATAGAGTTACCTCCTCCTGTCTACAGGTTGGGGTCATGATGGTGAACAAGTGTGCAAAGTTTCAAAGCCATATGTCAATGGACTTTGAAAATATTTGAACTATTACAAAAACTTTAACATAAGTGGTTACGCCGACGCCGACGCCGACGCTCGGGTGACTGCAATAGCTCTACTTATTCTTATCGAATAGTCGAGCTAAAAAGGGGCATAATTCTGTCAAAATGCTTGATAGAGTTACCTCCTCCTGTCTACAGGTTGGGGTCATGATGGTGAACAAGTGTGCAAAGTTTCAAAGCCATATGTCAATGGACTTTGAAAATATTTGAACTATTACAAAAACTTTAACGTAAATTCTAAGTCGAAAAAGGGGCATAATTCTGTCAAAATGCTTGATAGAGTTACCTCCTCCTGTCTACAGGTTGGGGTCATGATGGTGAACAAGTGTGCAAAGTTTCAAAGCCATATGTCAATGGACTTTGAAAATATTTGAACTATTACAAAAACTTTAACATAAGTGGTTACGCCGACGCCGACGCCGACGCTCGGGTGACTGCAATAGCTCTACTTATTCTTATCGAATAGTCGAGCTAAAAAGGAAGTGTAACATTAAAGTCATTATGAGGACAGCTTCCAATTTCTTCCAAAAGACCAGGTGGTAATTTATAATGATTTGAGACTTTTGTTCTAATATTTTAGGTACAAGAAGTAAAATATTTACTCTGTTTGATTGTGGTGCCTGTCTGTAAGTTGTTGCTGTTGATGATGCCGATAACTGTCCATGTGATCGCGGAACTGTCCCGTCGCCGATATTGGTGGCGTGTCTATAATACACAAAATATCTCACCGTGACCAAGTGTACAAACCAGTAATTATATAAATATTTAATAAATTTTATTCAATATTAAAGGGTTACATGTAAAGTTAAGATTTAAAATTTTATTTTCAAGATTCATCAAAAGTTTTTATGAGAGCTTCTTAATCGGTTCAATTAAACAACTACAATGTTACTTTAGTAAACTAAGTATCATATAATAATGTGACATGTAATCTTTGTTTCTATAATAAAATGTGAAATGAAAATTGTATATATAAAGAGACCTCTCAATGTATAAACATTTATCAACAGATCTTACTTAATTGTGCAACTCAAGAATTCTGGGTTATGTAAATTCAATACTTTGAAAAATTGGAATGTACATGCAAAACTAATACATGTATATTATTATATCATCTGAAATATTACTAAGATATAAATTATAGTAAAGGTGATCATTATATGACAGAAATAAGCAGTTATTACCTCACTAGTACTAAAATGATAACAATTTAGTCCTTCAGATTTACAGTTGTTTTCATTTATATATGTTTTAAATATTAATTGGCATCAAAACAATTAAATTATCAACAAAGTTGAGCATAGAACATGAACTGTCACCACTGATTAAAGAACATATTTTTCCTATAACTTAAACAATACAGTAGCTAATTCCACTGTAAATTCTTACCTATTACAACAAGTTATCATGTAAATGTAATATGTGTAAATTAATTTGTTAAATGAATGAGAAAATGCAACACTTAGCAATTTGCAAATCATGAAACTTAGTATGCATTTTGATTAAGAACAAATAACTTAGAAAATATGTTTTGAATATCATACAAATACATATAATTACATAGTATAATAATTTTATTGTAAATTGTTAAAGGATAATAACTAGATATGAAGTATTAAAAGATGATTATAATTCATCATCTTTAACATTTCCCATGCAAATGTACTGGATTAAAAATTATGTCATCTTAAATCTACATTAATCTACATTCCTGTATACCATATAATCTACATACATGTAACTATGTATAATGTAGTCAGTCATCATCTTACCATAGAACTAACATTTACCCAAGAAAAAAGTTTATAAACCTAATCAGTAAAACATATCAGTGCAACAAAATCATGTAGATTACTCTGACATTGTATTGAGTTAGAAGTGAAGGCAAAATGGCCTTCCACTTGCTGGATGTGTATAGTGAAATCACATTGGTCTTTCATTATGGCCATTAAACTCTCAAAGTGTTAAAAAAATACATTTTGTTATAAATTACTAGTAGACACACAGTGTTACAGTGTTGATGGAATTGACTTAATTTATCATTCTGTAAGATGATAAAACCTAAAAGCTACCAGGTTAAAATTCTAATGTGATACTCTTAAGTATATAAGTTAAACACATAGGTTTGCATGTAACAGTAAAAATATTATCTAAGGAAAATACTGTTACCTGAGGCTTTAGCAAGATTTACAGTATTTTTGCAAGGAGTGATATTTTTGTTGTTACTCACAAACCAGTGTGTCATTTATTTTATTACCCCCGAACAAATACTTCATTGGGACACTGTTTCTATACTAGGTTCTTATTTTTCACCTTTTTACTGTGAAAAAGTACTGTTACCTATGTAACAGTACAAAATTTTTAATCACATGGTACACTTGAATTAACAAGAGAATACTGGAAATCAATATTACAAAAATAGTGAGGGGTTATAATGTTATATCATTAACTAAGTCCTTCACACGAGCTGTTGTGACTAATTTAAAACACCTTCTACAAAATACATTATTCTCTACATGTAAAAAGCAATAGCTGATAAGGTAGGAAAATGAAAATAAATGCCCATATTAATTCATTTGGTGGGGAATCTAAATGGTTTTTACTATTTCAAGATATAATCAACCAAAATCTACATTGTTTATTTCTTGAAATATACATACTCAGTCGGAATCGATATGGCACTGGAAAAAAATAATATTTCTTCATCACCTATACATGAGTGAACTAGTAAAATTCATTAATAAAACTTTCTGGCAGAATGTTTAGAAAAACCTCTGTGTATAAGATAAAACCAATGTTGAGTAACCAGGTCAAATTGATCAAGTTTATGTTGAGAAGAAACCTGAGGAAATTTAAGTCTTTCAAACTATAACTACATCATTTAATGTTTTACTCTTTTATTCCTTATGTTTGATTCAATTCTGACTGTCAGATCTTCCTAATCAAGTGTTTCACAAAAATGTTATGTTACTTGAGAACTGATATTTCATCAGATTGGTTTAATTCCTTTTTTCACTAAATATCCTAAATTCATTTTTCCACAACAAATTGTCTTAATCATAATTTCTGACCTTTTTCCTTTTTTTGGTCTAATCATTATCCAGCTCAAATTACTGCTGAAAGAAGAGTTTCAGAGACGTTCATTTAGTTCTGGGTCCTCAATAAATCATTACAGAATGTTACAGTAAGTCCCAAACATGTGTTCATATGTGACATTAAGTTTCTTAAAAAAGAATCAAAGTAATAACAAGGGAAATTTTATGTCTATTACAAGAACTAATGTAGGATTTATAAGTTGTAGCATGAGATATACATGTAACACATAAGATGTTCAATATCTATATTACAGTTTTACATCCCGGAGACAAGTTCAGTACACTAGAGAACTGTTACTAATTTTATATAGAACTAAATCTTTAATTATCAGGACAAAAACCAGACAAATACAGTGACAACTGCCTTATACAAATCCCAGTTTGATGATAACATCTCCTCCCCCCCCCCCGCCCCGCTAAGAAAACATTACACTGTAACATATGATGCTCCATTCAAATATCACAAAATACTAAACAATTAGATAAATTCACTATCAAACAGACACTGGTCACTGATTTTCTCTCAAATGTTTGTATAATTTTAAGCTTAAAACTAGAACTATCACTAAATGTGATTAATACCCCCACAAGACTGCTTCCGAAATGTCAGGATGTTACTAGTAACAGACTACCTTGTAAAAGAATTGAAATATAGAGTTATGGTTGTGGGCAATTAAAGATAGTTGTTGTTCTTATATGTTGCATTTCCTTTCAATGTGGTTAGCCATTGATGAAGTTTAATTGAATTACTCTGTAATAAGTCCAGAAAGACAAAGAAAAGGAACAAAGGGTAATAACTCTATAAATACTGAAGATAGAGTTATAGTTCTTGTGCACTGCACTTCCTTTTATTGTGCTTGACCATTGTATGAAGTTGTTTTGAATTCCAACCAGTACATTTTAAGTTATGCTCCTGACAAGGAAAAGTATCAAAGGGCAGTAACTCTGTATTTTGTCAAAATGGAGTTATGGCTCTTGTGCACTGCACTTCCTTTTAATGTCCTTGACAACTGTATGAAGTTGTATTGAATTTCAAACAGTAGTTTTCAAGTTATGCTCCGGACAAGGAAAAGTAACAAAGGGCAATAACTCTGAAATTAGTCAAGATGGAGTTATGGTTCTTGTGCACTGCACTTCCTCTCAATGTGCTTGACCATTGTATGAAGTTATATTGAATTCCAACCATTAGTCTTCAAGTTATGGTCCGGACAAAAAAGGCAATGGAAAAGTAACAAAGGGCAATAACTCTGTAATTACTTTAGATAGAGTTATGGTTCTTGTGCACTGCACTTCCCCTTATTGTGTTTGACAATTGTATGAAGTTGTTTTGAATTCCAACCAGTAGTTTTCAAGTTATGCCCCGGACAAGGAAAAGTAACAAAGGGCAATAACTCTGTAATTAGTCAAGATAGAGTTATGGTTCTTATGCACTGCACTTCCTCTCAATGTGCTTGACCATTATATGTAGTTATAGTGAATTCCAACCATTAGTCTTAAAGTTATGGTCCGGACAAAAAAATCAATGGAAAAGTAACAAAGGGCAATAACTCTGTAATTACTTTAGATAGAGTTATGGTTCTTGTGCACTGCACTTCCCCTTATTGTGTTTGACAATTGTATGAAGTTGTTTTGAATTCCAACCAGTAGTTTTCAAGTTATGCCCTGGACAAGGAAAAGTAACAAAGGGCAATAACTCTGTAATTAGTCAAGATAGAGTTATGGTTCTTATGCACTGCACTTCCTCTCAATGTGCTTGACCATTGTATGTAGTTATATTGAATTCAAACTATTAGTCTTCAAGTTATGGTCCGGACAAAAAAAAAGCATTGGAAAAGCAACAAAGGGCAATAACTCTGTAATTACTTTAGATAGAGTTATGGTTCTTGTGCACTGCACTTCCCCTTATTGTGTTTGACAATTGTATGAAGTTGTTTTGAATTCCAACCAGTAGTTTTCAAGTTATGCCCTGGACAAGGAAAAGTAACAAAGGGCAATAACTCTGTAATTAGTCAAGATAGAGTTATGGTTCTTGTGCACTGCACTTCCTCTCAATGTGCTTGACCATTGTATGTAGTTATATTGAATTCCAACCATTAGTCTTCAAGTTATGCTCCGGACAAGGAAAATGCAACGGACGTCTGGACCGACCGCCCGACCGACCGACCACCGGGTGACTCCTATATACCCCCCCAAACTTCGTTTTTGGGGGTATAATAAGGCCAGACTGTAGCCAAAATTCAGCCAAATATCCCTATCATGAAAGTACATATTTTTCCTAGTTTCATAAAAAGTTATTATTAGTTACATATTTATTGACAGAATTATTTTATAAAATCTTATTTAAAACTTATTCCATCATTTTTTTTTCTAAAATTCTATGATGTCTTTAAATTATCTTTTGCCTTCTTCACACTATACACATTAATGAGATTTAAAACAAAAGCTATCCGTACGACAGCACCCTTGACTATTCTGAGTGCTTGACAGTAAGACTAGAACTCCGCGAGTTGGATGTGTCGCCTTGTGAACAATGTAGTTTAGGAGAAATGGCCAGGACAAAAATGAAATATGAAAAATAACAAAGGGCAATAACAAAAAAAATAATAAGTGCAGAGCAGCATATCTGTGCACTGCACTTCTTATCAATAAGATCTATCATTCTATGATGTTTCAAGTCCATAGCTTTCATACTTGAGGAGAAATGACCAGGACAAAAATAAAGTAAGAAAATCAACAAAGGGCAATAACTCAAAAAATAAGAAATGCAGAGTATCAGTTCTTATGCACTGCACTTTTTCTTAATGAGATCTATCATCCTATGAAGTTTCAAGTCCATAACTTTTATACTTTCGGAGAAATGGCCTGGACAAAAATTAAAGTATGAAAATAAACAAAGGGCAATAACTCAAAAAATAAGAAATGCAGAGTACCTGTTCTTGTGCACTGCACTTCTTCTTAATGAGACCTATCATCCTATGAAGTTTCAAGTCCATGGCTTTTATACATTAGGAGAAATGGCCCGGACAAAAATAAAGTATGAAAATTAACAAAGGGCAATAACTCAAAAATTAGGAAGTGCAGAGTACCGGTTCTTGTGCACTGCACTTCTTCTTAATGAGATCTATCATCCTATGAAGTTTCAAGTCCATAGCTTTTTTAGTTCAAGAGAAATGGCCCGGACAAAATTAAAGTATGAAAATTAACAAAGGGCAATTAAACTCAAAAAATAAGAACTGCAGAGTACCGGTCCTTGTGCACTGCACTTCGGGTTATTGAAAGAAGCACGCATACCAAGTTTGAAGTCAATCAGACTTATAGTGACTGAGTTATGCTCCGGACAAGCTTTAGGGGACGCCGACAACGACGCTGACACAGACGCTGCCACCGACAAAAGTAACCCCTATATGTCACCTTTTCAAAGCGACACAAAAAGGAGCAAAACTCTATGAAAAGGAAACTTTGAGTTATGGGACCTATGCTCATCATGTTAGATAATCATAGAGAACATTTAAGTGTGAGAAGTGTTAACCTATTCCCTTTCTAGGAGATAACAACTTGCTGGCAAAGTGTGACACTGTGACACCTACACTGATGTCATGGCAAGTACTAAGATTCTCCATATTCTTCCAATAGTTGAGCTAAAAACCATTGTCACCATACAAAAACTGTTGAAAAAACTCTGTCCTTATACATACAATAATAATAGTCTGGAAATGTTTGTGGTAATGATTTAAGTAATGATTGAAGTGATAACTACAGGAATATTAGCCAAAGCACAAATCTCTCTTATGCAAACAAAGTCTGGTGATATAAAGATGACAGAAATAATGCAGCCACACGATGTGTCTATATTAAAATATAGTACAGCAATTAAAGCAATTAAAATATGAGCCGCGTCACAACAAAACCAACATAGTGCGTTTGCGACCAGCATGGATCCAGACCAGCCTGCGCATCCTCGCAGTCTGATCAGGATCCATGCTGTTCGCTTACCAACCCTATTACAAGTAGAGAAACTGATAGCAAACAGCATGAATCCTTATCAGACTGCGTGGATGCGCAGGCTGGTCTGGATCCATGCTGGTCGCAAACCCATTATGTTGGTTTTGTCATCGCGCGGCTCATATATTGACCATGTGACTAAATCATGTAAATATAGCTCAAATCATTCAAGTCACAATAAATAAATAAAGTTCCTATGTATATAATACACAATGTATATAATATATGTGTGAGTTGAGGATATAGTTATATATATACCTGTCCGAGTCAGCTGATATTATATGAAATAATTACAGTATTTATACAGTTAGTAATATATTGTATATACATAATTATATATTACAATATACACGGTGATAGGGCGATTACCACAACTTTTCCGCGCAACGTCAAAATATCTTACTTCTGTCCGAGACACCGTATATTTCTGTGGTACAAATGGACAGCAAGCCTGTAACCGAGACGAAAACAGCATATAATTTGCTCAAAACAAGGTAAAATCATCAGTTTTTCTTTTTCATCGAACGTGCCATTTAATTTGAAACTTATTTATCTTTACTACATGCAAAATGCTTCATTAATTAAGTCAGGATAGTGAAAACATTTAGGGCATACTGAAAAAAATCTTGCTTTGATTACGAAATATAACGTATTTCTAGTCCGTTCAGTTCATACAACTGGTCAAAATACAATATAAATATGTACATTATTGTCGTATGAACAAGTTACAATACATAAATAATTCGTTTTTTGTATATTTGGTATGATTTGTATGTTTCCAAGTGTGTATTTTAAGGCACCGCACAACTTTGTCAATCATAAGATTAGGGCACCGCATTATTCCTCCTTAAAATCACCGCATTTTTCTGTCTTTTTAGCACCGTTGATTTTTGATATTAATGTTTGCTTTCAGAAAAAGAATACGTTCAAACATATGTCTGAACAAGCCAAAGCAACGTGCGAAATTGGCAAAGCTGCAGATACTGCAGCAACTGGAGAGCGCCCAACTAAGTCTTCTGATATCAGCAGTACGCCAATGGATCAGCGCCTCCCTGTATTTCAGGACGATATGCGTAACGCACCACATAAGAAAAAGAATATGAAGTCAAACTTTCGCAAAAGATTGTTTAAAAAAAGCACATTGTTGGAGACGATGACTGAAGAGATTAAAGAAATATTGCCCGGGTTCCTGCAAAAACTACACCATGAAAATTTGTGTTATGACTTTTGCAACTTTATCAAATTAGTATGCAATAAGAAATTCCCATTAACAAATAGTTCATTCCTTTTGTTTCTCGATGTTGTTTGATGGTATAGTCTGCCAAGAACTTCAATCTTTCCATGTGGGGTTTATCAGTTTGAATAAGTTGGAAAAGGAAAAGACATCCTTATCTATATATAGATACCATTGCACTTATCTAACTGGTAGTATTAACACAGATCAGACCTTCAGAAATTTCCCATAACATAACGTATGATACAACAGCAACATAACATAACAGCAAGTTAACAATCTTTCATCAAACTTTCATCAAATAAAATTTATTATAAAACATATTTGTAAGATTATTGTATAATTCAAAAGAAGACGGTTCCAGTATTTATCGGTCTAACGGAAAAAGAATGCGGTGTTTGAATTCAGTGTTGTACGGTGCTCCAATATTCGGGTCAGTAGGCCTTTTTTCAACAAATATTCCCTGAAATTTACGATAGATACACACAATTTTGTATGGAACTTGAACTTAGGGTTAACCATAATAAATATACGAGCTCGTTAGGTCATAGAACAAAGACATCGTCGTTATAACACATGTTTTTGTGACAAGTACGAGTCATGTTGAGGTACACACAATCTTTTGTAAACACTATTTCTTCGAAGTATGTGTTTTTGTGTGAATTGTATTGTGCTAGATTAACAATAAATTGTCTCAAAAATTCGATGGAATACTTAAACAATTGGAATAATCTTGCAATGTCCAGCAGTAAGATATTTTGTAAGATATTACCTGGAATTTGGTTATCCCGCCATTAATATTTTGTCCAGAAATATACAGTGTCTCGGTCAGAAGGATGATATTTTGACGTTGCGCGGAAAAGTTGTGGTTATCGCCCTATCACCGTGATATAGTAAATATACATGGAATTATTACAGATTCTGCTCAAGCAAACAGCTTCAATACCTGATCCAAAGTAAAGATAAAAAACAACTTTGGAATAAAGAAACCTCTATATAAACCAGTAATAACATTTTACTGATATTTATATAACTGGAAATTCAAATAAAAAAAAAACATAACAAAATGTGTAACAATAGTTCTAATATTTTTGCAGTAAACATGTATAAACAAAGAACATGTCATTACTTTGAAGTCTGATGTAAGAGGTTTCTTTTACCACTGTTTAATATAGTCATTGCATGCCATGCTGAAAGATTAAATGTTAGCAAAAAAAACAGCATTATCAAAGTTTACATTATAATTTAACAATTCACTAAAGTTTTACTTCTAAGATGCATATAAAAAAACTACTGTTTAGTTCTACAAATTAAAACTAGATACAAATTGTTAGCTTACAAGATATATATTGAATTACTTTGGGTGAATTACTCATTATATTTTTGCTCAGATGTAACTTTGATTATGCCACCTTTAAACAAGAACAATAAGAAGCTGCAAAAGTTCAAAGGTCACCATTTCAGTAATGGTGAGGTCACATGACTTGAACATGTGACTTGTTACCTTGGTGATAGGGTCACAGCACTTCCTGCTACACCAACCCCAGTGATCAAAGTAAAGTCAACTGTTGCAACAAAGTACAAAATAGTTTAGCAGAGTCTTATCAAATACATTTGGGTATTCCTTAAAACCTTTTTTTTTAATAATTAAAGATATAAATACAATGTATTTCAACAAAACAAAGTTTTTCTTTTTCTTATAAGGCCTTGCAAAATAAGAATTAGAATTCAACTGCAATACCTTTACCATACTTATTTTTATAACTCTCAGAAAGAAAAATATCAAATCAATAATGTTTGCTTTAAACTTTTAACTTAAAATAATTCAAAATATTTATTGTTCTAGCTAATGTTTTAAGTAAACGTTTATTTTCAGAAATATAAATGCTTTTTTTAAATCAACGTTTACATCAGATGATATTACCGCACATTTATGTGTTATAATTACTGGCAACAAGATATTTCTCATATAAAATGCAACATTTATTACCTCATATATTTGTGGTTACCATGACAACTAACATCATCATTTCTATGTTTCTTATTTCTATGACAACTTAATCAAAATGTAATATCATATTTCTAATTTTGTATTTACATAACAAGTGGAATATTACAGTTAATCATTCATATTTCTAGACAGGCGAGAATGAAAGAGATATTAATGTGTTTTTAATGTGCTCAGATATCTCTTTATAAGTGTTAATAATTATATTTCTAGCAGCAAAGACAGAGTTAAACTTGTTATATATCAACAGATATCAAATATATGGTCAAGTATTAAATAGAAAGTAGTTCAACTAATTAGACTTGTCCAAGAGACATTGAGATAATTTTGGATCATTTGACAGCATAACAAAAGTCTGTAAATTGGGTCAAATCGTTCACGCAAAATTTATTAGGCTACATAGAAAGGTACTGTGCACGTACACATACAAAATGTATTTTTATAAGGTTTTCATGAAATAATTGACAAAACAAATTAATTTATAAATTTTTAGGTTTAGTTTGTGAACAGTATTATAGAAAGATTAATCTGAACAATATATCATCCTACCAACACCAATAATAACAACAAGAGCACCTGCATGTGGTAATTAATAATGTTCATTATGTTAAGGAAATAACTAAAAATATTAAATTCAACTAGTTGTCATGGTGATATGAATGTTAAGCACTCTGCATCTCAATGAGATAAATAGTATTGTGTTAATGTAAATATTCCAGATGTTGGTACACATACAAAATTTATTTTCCATGTGTTCAAAGGGACATAACTCTAGAAATACTGGTCACTTAGTTATGTCCCTTGTTCTACAAATATGCCTTCCATTAAGCAAATATGTTACGTCCCCATATGCAAGTATGTCATGTCCCCATAATATGCAAGTAATTGCCATGTCCCATACTCAAGTATGCAAAGATTGTGTACAATATCTATGATAATTCTAAAAAAAAGTATCAGTATCAAATCTTTACAAATATCTTGAGTTAAAGTGACTAGAGCTATCTTTGCTGTCCGCAGATTAAAAAATTTTGTATTAATTTCTTTAAAAAATAATTCCAAACTGTCTGTATCAAAGAAATATGTTGATATATTTCATTTTGAGTGAATGGTGCATTGTACCATTAAAAACCTACTTGATATAGCAGTATAATATTTTATTCTGTTTATATACAGTTTTTTATGCATATTAAATAACAGAGACTTTCTATGTAACAATGCTTTGTAGAGTTGACCATAAGAAATGAAAACAACATAACTTTACTGTTTTTAAATTCTACTTCATTAAATATAGGTCTATACCATTTAAAAATGAGTTTAACTCATAGAAATATAGCTTTTGGAATAATGCCAATTTGTCTTACATCTGTGCCATATCATGAAAATCAAGAATTCTGTGTTTATGTCTTGTTATATTTACTTATTTGAGTAATGCCCACCTGTCAGGAATGATCTTTTAACTGAGTATTCAATTGCAAATAAAAACTGTAAAGGTTAAACATTTTGTTTCTTACTTTATTGGTGGTGGAAAATACAATATTTCCCACTTAAATGGGGACAGAAATACAATAACAATGTGACACTGCTGTCACTAAGCAAGATCTTTTGGTTACAAAGAGTTAGTTCCCTTGCCATAATAAGTAAAGCAAATTAAGTACCGGTATATAAAAAGATAAGCTACATATAACATTGCTGTGTATAACATTTTTGTGACACAAGTCTATGATATAAGCAACAATGATCACACAATATTTCACCATCATAAACACCGCATTATTTAGGAGAACTGTTGAACATTCTCCATATATTAATTTGTTATTGCATTTTAAGACAGCTCTAAAATATGATATTTATAATATTTGCCAGATAAAAACACTAGATATATATATTTATAGTTAGAGGAAGCTGAATATTTATATCTGATTTACACAAGTAGCTGCTTCAACAATACCGGACATACATAAATCATGAATTGAAATTCATATAACTGACATTCAACATTTTATTTTCCTAACTGTATTAAAAATTGGCCTCACTTTATCAGGAATTTATACAAATATTTCTCAATTATCTTTTTTTCTTTTAAGACCTAAACTTAAACCAAAACAAAAACCATGATAAAAGAAGATTTTTTGCTCATTAAACTTTAACAACTCATATATCTCCAACTAATATGAAATTCATAAATAACAAAATACATTAATTATACAATATAAAAAATATGTTTTGTATGAAAGAAATTGGAAGTTTATATTCTATTGAAATAAATTCAAGAGAAATTGATATAACTGAGCCAGACGGGTAATATACACATTAAATTTCCCCGTTGGGTACCCAACGTTGTAAACAACATGCGCTGAGGTGATGCGCGTACGGTTCGATTTTACACGGTGTAAATTCCGATTTAAAAGCACTTTTTAACTGTCAAATGATAAATATTTACCAAAGTAAAGTAATGATACATATTCTCATCAGTATTGAAAACAAATATGACCTTGTGAAAGCTTGATATTAATTACAAAAAAGTGCGTTCAATAGACTACTCCTTTTCTCTTGTTTACATTCGTTAGGTACGGGGGAAAAATACGTTATGTATTTATGTGACGTCATGTTGTCATGAAGGGGTACCCTAAAGGGAATCTTATTTCGACGTTTCATTTTAAACAACTATTTTTTAAAAAATTGTCTAATCTCGGCAGGGGAAGGGTAATAAAATTATTATTTTGGTTTTGGAGTGATATAAAATTTTGGTTTTGGAGCCTAACGGCTCGGGTGATATAAAATCTTAGCAGGTAATATATCCACATATATCACTCCAAAACCAAAATAACATATATTATATCCTAAACTTAAGATAATATAGTTGATTTATAAGGCAGACACAGAGATGACAACTCAAACATTTCACCTTCAATTATCACATCATCAACATTAAATATACATGTATATGTTAAATTTTTCAACATTCTTTAGACTAACTTTTAGTAAATAACATAAGAGATCAGATTTAATATTTTCTATATACATGTGTAAATCAGACAATTAAATAAAGCCCTGTATAAATAGAAAATCTGCACTACAGATTTGTTAGAGAGACAAGTTAGAAAAGCTTAACATAAATAAAACAACTTTTGTAACATTTATACCTGGCACGGGCTTAAACAAGGGTCCTTGTACTATGAAATAAGTAAATAAATGATAAAATAGTAAAATATATTAATTGTTAGTTTTTCAAAATGCATGCTGGATAAAAAATAAAAAAAAAACATTTTTTTTTCATTCCCATAAAATGAACAGCAGACACTTTGTTATTAAGATTGGTTAAGTATTAAAGAAGTAACTTGATGGCTATAGCTGTTACTGCTCATCATTTATAGTATTATTTTTTATACTATAAAACATATCCATACTTTTTCTAACAAGCAAATTGTTTGTTCAGATATTTGAGACTATAGAAAACTGTTTTCTTTTGTGATTTCTTTGTAAGAAAGATCTTCAATAGAAAATCATTTTTCTCCAATTATAAAACAGATAATGAACTTGTGTGGAATATGTTTCAATTATATATAGATTATTAATTCATTATAAATACAATATAAAACAGGTTTCTATAGCTCGTTTAACATGCTCAATTCAAACTGCATGCTGTATAATAACTGTCATCTCATACAAAGATTATAGACAGCCTAGTGGTTGAAGTGATTTATTCTCAATAAGGAGCTCAATAATCCTATCAGTATAAATACAATGTTTTCTAAAGAGAACAATACCTTATATCTAGAAAACAAATATCTGTGTATGACATACTTTAACTGAAACCTATTATCAGGCCAGTCAAAACATGACTTATATAGACTTATGTTAATTTCTAGAGATTTATAATTCTACAAGTAATATTTACAGACAACAAGTGTTACTGTATAAGTTAACAGTAGGTGAACTAAATCATTCATGCTGAAGTGTTTAATTAATACAAACATATCATTTCACAGACTTCACACACAACATGCTAAAGGGAATAAATTACCACACAATGTGACATTTCTCACCTTGGCCTGTATCATCAGATGATGGTGAAGCCATGGAAACATTTTTTCTCGAGGATTTCTTTCTTTTTCTTTTTGATTTCCCGCCTTTATCTGCCTCACTTCCTGAATCTTGTGCTGGGCGTACAACAGAGCGGATATTACCACCACTGTTTTTACCAGAACTCGGAGATTGATTTGTTAAATTACGTCTCTTCAACATCGTGTATCTGCGACGCCTTTTCTGAGATTCTCTGTTTAATTGATATATTTTGTTAACGAACCAAATAGTAAAGTTGTTGATAATATAAAATTGTCAGTAATGTAACTACAATATCTAGATCTTTAAACTGCAGAATTCTAATCAACATTAACAATTTTTACATGTCTTGTCATGGTGTAACTGATAAAAAACATACAAAAAGTCTATAGAAATCATCTGTCCGATATAAGTATATTCAAATTACTCATACATTTAATATTATATAAATTACAAAAAATTAGAGTGACAACTCACGATTCATTGTTATTGACGTTCATGTTAGCTTCAATGGTTGTAGGTTTGGCCTGATGATGAGATAATGATGTAGCACTGGCTTTAGGTATATCAAGTATTTCTCTCCCAGACTGACCTACAGGCGTCAAACCTCTATATGTGGAAGGTGATTCTAAAGGTAATGTTCGTTCCATGCTAGCTTTGCGCATACCACCTGATTTAGGTGGGCGGACATTGCTGTGAACAGGAGTCCTTGGAGGCGGGATTTCTGAAGGAGATAGGTTCAGGAAATATCGACCTGTAGGAAGAGGTATACGACTATTTGGTCCTGGACCTTTCTTGGCCAAATTCATCTGCAATGAAAAATTATAATTTTCTATAATATAAAAATTAACCTTTCTACAACAAACAATACCATACTGTGCACATTTCTTCCATTCAAACCCTTTATTCACAATAATTTTGCCAAATTTTTCATCAATTAATAATCAAAGTTTGAAATTAGTAAAATGCTTCATTTATTAACAAGATAATTTTTAAAGATAAAAAGTTACTTTCAAACTGAATATCTACATTACCAAAACTATTTAGGAACTTAAAAACAATAAATATCGCTAAAAGCAATATATGCTCACAAAACCTACACATCTGTCAATGTATTTCAATGCATATCAGCCAATAAATAAAGGTTGTATAAGCAAATTATTAAAATATGTTTTCAGCAAAGGTGATCTTTACCCAAGTGACCCCTTGCACCATCAAAAGCATGGAAGAAATTATGACACTTCCTCTTACTGATTTAGATCACAATGTGAAGTTTTCCTTAAATTCTTCCAATACTGTTCAAGTTATGCTCCAGACATGTGACACACAGTTGGGACAATGATGTGACCTCTGTTCTTCAAGAATATTTGAGCCTTGTCATGACAAAACCAAGTGTGTTTGCGACCAGCAGGGATCCAGACCAGCCTGCACATCTGCACAGTCTGATCAGGATCCATGCTGTTAGCTATCAGTTTCTCTACTTGTAATAGGGTTGGTAAGTGAACAGCATGGATCCTGATCAGACTGCGCGGATGCGCAGGCTGGTCTGGATCCATGCTGGTCGCAAACCCATTACGTTGGTTTTGTCATGGCACGACTCATTTGATATAATTAACAATAAGATTTACCAAATTTGACATATTCTTCAATTGTTCTACCTTCTCTTCTTCAGCCATTCTAGACAACTGTGATAAATTACTACCAGCGGAATATTGTCTGCCTTCTTTTGTATCCATGGCAGCTGTTGTCATGGTGAGACTGACTGGTTGTGACCCGGATGATGAAGCTTGTGGAGCTGATCTACTCACTGGTTGACTGTTGGGAACATTTGGACGTCTTCTATTCTGTGCCATGTTTGACCGAGTGGCTGAAAAATAATCAGCATTATTCTAATGTACAAGTCAAATACTTTTTATTGGCAGCCTGGCAAAGTGGTTAACACGTCAGGCTAGTAATGTAAGGATTGCTGACCACGTGGGTTCAAACCCTGTCAGGGACAAGCCGTTGTTTCCTTGAGCAAGAAACTTAACATTCATTGCTGTTCTGAAACAGATAAATTTGTATAAACTAAACTCCATCTAAAATATTCAAAATCAACAAATTCTTTTTTTTTTATCTGTGTATAGCAACTTTTCAATGTCAAAAATTAGAAAACTTTATAGATAACAAGAACTGTCAGAGGACAGCGATGTCCGCCTATTCAAAAAGTTGTCACAAGTGTGTTTCATTGAGTACAATAATGCTTACCTATATGAATACATAAAATTGTTAGAAAAGGTACAAAGGTTTGTTATTAAGATGTTTTATTGAGCAAATCACTGCTTTATTATTGTGAATGCATAAAATTGTCCCCCAAAAAGGCACAAACCCTTCAGTAGTTATAGAGATACCAGCTTACAAACAAAAACTTTACCAAAAATTTCTTAGTTGAAAAAGGGGCATAATTATGCAAAAAAACAAATCAGAGTTACAGGACGTGTGCCAATCATGTAAGATAATCACAGAGAACAATTGTGTGTGGTTTCAATCCATTCCCTTCTGTAGTTATGGAGATACTTTCTTACATGCAAAAACTTAAACAAAGGGACGCCGACGACGACGCAGACAAATGGGTGACTCCTTTAGCTTGATTATTCTGCGAATAATTGTAAGATGTATTTGCTTCTTCCTTTAAATGGCAGACATTGTATTTCAAAGTTCATGATTACAAAATATGAGCAAGGGAAACAACCAGAAACTCTTGTTTAATTGAAAAAAATGTTAATATTTCAATAAGAATGATGTCTAGTCTTGAGTACAGTTACATAGAAAATAGATTTAAAATTGTCCTTGTGAAAAAACTTCTTATTTTTCATCAAGCATGCACTATATCAGTTTCTAGAGGACAATACAGTAATAATTTACAATATTGTATGGTGGAACAATACTCGTGTGCAGTATTTAATTGATACTTTCCCTGCAGATTTTAATCATTATCTAATTTAATTTGCTTTTATGAATTGACAGGAAACCAGTAATACTTTATCACAGAACTTAATTAGGAACACTTTAAATTGATTTCTGATGATATACTTTGAACATGTTGATGTAAAGTGTAAATGTCAATAAAAACTTCAACACAGCAAGATTTCTGTGATGTATGAAAGAGTTAACTGCTGTCTGCAGATTCTGTTTTAATCATCATTATCAACAAATCATAGCCTGACAGTGTTGTGAACATGTTATTTCAATTTCACCAAGCTGATTAATGAGAAAACAAAAAACTAGCGGGGAAAATGTCGATTCTTTTTACATGTCAGATTTATAATTGAATAGTATTTAATGAGAAATGAAGAAACCTTTGTGCTTCATAATTATCACATTTTTTTAGCTTAACTTTCAAGGCTTACTAGAATGACATATTACATTCATAATAAAATCATTAATCTTTAACGTTATGTCTTCCCATGTATTTAATAGATGCTATAATTTTAGAAATTTAGGGAAACAGAACAAGATTGTAACCATGATCAATCATTATGCTGACCTTGAATAAACATCTATCATCAAAATCTCAATTTCAAAGTACTAATGGGCATGCAGCCTTTTGATTTTAATTCAGCATCAATAACTGGTCCCTGGATAATAGTTATCAATTCATTTCATCTTAAAGCATTAACATTTCACATCCTTCCTTTATATCAAGATCAAATCTAGGCATGTTTAAAAAAAAAAGATTTTAAAATACAAAAAGCAACATTGAAATATGAAGCATACTTTCTCTAACAGGTCCTAATTCCCGCCTGTTCTGGTTGACAGATTCCCGTCGTGAGTAGCGTGATGCAACACTTGTCATGGAGGTTGTTGATTCTGTTGAGTTGTGACGGGACATTGTTTGTCTACTCGGTCCAGAATTGTCATTACTATTACCAAATCTGAACCCTCGTGTAGCACCCTGATTGCTTGTACTATTTATACTGAAAGAAAATAATGTTGCTTTATTAAATGACTCACTGTAGTTTTTCGACACAACAGGACTGGAAATAACTTGTTGAGATTTATGTTCCATTTGATGTAGGTCTAGACCAATAACTTATGAATCATTCCCTGACTCTGTTTTCTAGATTACTGTGAAAAAATCACCTTAAGTTTAAAAGCAATACCTATGCCAGTGTCATTATGTTATACATCTACTAAATGAAATACTTCAGACTAGAATCAACACCTATATATACTTTTATACATCACACTCTATAAATTAAAGTTGTAAATATGTTGTTAATGGCTTGAAATGAAAACTAGAAATCCTAACATAAATAGATCATAAAATTTCACACAATGTTCACTTCTTTCTAGCAAATGAAAGGAAAGGTCTGAAGTTAACATCCTTGAGTATTATTTGTTAATAGCTATCAAACTGTTTGTAAGCATAAGAAATGAATAAAGAGTTGATAATTGCATTACATTTGAAATGTAGCCAAACTAATAATTTATGGCTTAAGAAAGATCTGTATAATTTCCTTGTGATGATTAAATCATACTACATCAACAAACAATATCATATATATATACCTATTACTCCTGGAGAGAGGTTTAGACGGGTTTCTAGGAATTCTGGGACCTCCACGTATACTTCGAAGGAATCTTCTCACAGAATCACGTACACCAGATAGACAGTTGTGTTCAGATAAGGTCAGTCGTGACCATGGATTAACATCAAACATGTCTATAGCAGCAATAGCTAGAGCCCGACCAACCTGTAATATGACATATACAAAATAAATTTGTTAAATTTGCTATGTTTCACATACACAAAAACCACACAACAAAAACATCTATATTGTATATGAGTATTATGCTGATGTAGGTGTAATGCCATTACATAATATTATGTTTAAAAAATTAAGTTTTAATTAGAAGTGGCATATAATGCAAGGGTCAATGAAAGAATATCATAATCTATTACTAGTATAAGGCTATCACAAATAAAACTGGAATGGATCACTGTAGGCCCTTCAGCATAGTATGCTGTCATAGGTGAACTTAAGTCAAAAACAAGTGACAGATCAAGATACTCTTATAACAAAACCTGTCCATAAGAAAGTCCCCTTGACTATTCTCGGTGCTACTGACAGTAAGAAAACGACATAACACTTTAAAAAGGTCACTCAATGTTTTCAGACCTATGTATTTTGTAATCACAAAGAACAAGTGTAAAGTTTTCATCTATTCCCTTTACTAGTTTTGGAGATACCAACATGCATGCAAAAAGTTCACCAAAGTGTGACTTGACGGCAATACCAGCTTTAGTACAATAGCTCTACTTTACTTAAATAGTCAGACTAAAAATTACTAATCAAATTTACAAAATCACTGGTCAAATAACCATTTATTTATATCATAATTGATTGCGTGTTTTAAATTCCATTGTCCAAGACCATTACAGATAAATTAATACCTCTTCAAAGTGTGCCTGTGTGTATTTTGGTGGGAAACCAGCCAGTGGTGGAGGTGTAGCCCGCCCATCATCCCCGTACGCCTGGGGTACAGGGTTTACCATACGTCCAGTATTGTAATTACATTCTAGTGTGTAACTGAAAGATTTTTGCATTAATTTATATCAATAACAATATACATTCATATTGAACATTCTCCTTTCAATACATTTGAGTTATTTCTGTTTTGTTAAAAATGTGTAATAATTTACTGTCTCAATAAGACAAAAAATGAAATTTTGGATATTAATTAATGATAACATTTACATGTACTGTCTTAACTTCTAAGAACATCAAACTTTCTAGTGAACTTTATACAAAGAATTCACTTTATATCAGTTTGATAATGTGTGTATAGAAAACTGATCCCTGTGTGCTTAAAGAAGTAAGTAAATCAATATATTCTGTATATAAACAAATGATTTTACTTATAAATTACAAGCTATATAAACCAGTTAAGTTCCAGTTTACCTGTGTATAATGCCTAATGCCTTGTATATTGCTACTCTCCCACTACCTTCCTTTGACATACCATCCCTCTTATCCTTCGTGTACATGTTCCTCTCTGTAAAGTTACATCCAGTAAAGTCAAAGTGGGCTGTATTCATTGATATCAACTTTGGAAACAACATGTTCTCAACCTAAAATTTATAGAAAATAAAATAACTTGATGAAGTAGAATAAAATAACAGGATACTAGGCTGAACAGAATAAAATAACATGATATTAGACTGAATAGAATAAAATATCCAGATACAAGTTGGATCCTCACTTCATGTTTTGGTGTGTAAATTCAGCATCATTCCTCCATAAGAAACAACAACTATTTTTCCCCTTATTTTTTAATGAAAAAAGAATATCACGCCTCCCCACCAAAAAATAATTATTTTCATGATATTATTTTTTGTTCTTGTTTATTTTACCTGCCTAGGTCTGTCAAAAGCAGGAGACCTTTTAACAATAACTTCAGAATTTTTACAAAATAAAATACTATACATAATTATTAACGACATGAGTATTTTCACTACTTTATGTACAGCAAAAATTGTCTGAAATTACCACTATAAAGGAAAACTATATATATATAAATATATATATATATATAAAGTCAAATAGAATTATTATGCAAGTAATAGTTATAGAATATATACGAGGACTTTACCGGCTGGTATCAGCGCATGGGGCGACAACAAGGGTCAATCACAGGAAATTAATCGAGACGGAACGTCGAGGTTAATTTCCATGATTGACCCTTTTGTCGCCCCATGCGCTGATACCAGCCGGTGAAGTCCGAGTATTTATTCTGTAACTGTTTTATCGCATGACCATCACGACTATTTTCTGGAGATTTACGCTCTCTCGTAATATTTGCTTTATTTAAACATATAAATATTTTAATAAATGCCCGCAGAAATATACCCATTAGAGGCCGTTGAAGGAACTGGAATGAAATAACCATTGGACGAGGTAAGTTGATACATTTTTCTGAATGCCAAATATTAATCATCTTTCCAGCTCATTTTCAAAATATAATCTAGGAAATATTGTCAATAAGAGCCCCGGTGTATATTTTAGAAGTATATCTTGTACGCGTTTTTTTTTAAAACTAACGACATTGTAGTGATTTTTTTCTTAACACTACTTCCATTTATTAATAATTACGCTAGAATACGTGTAGTGCTTTACTGAAAAATGAATAATTTGATCATTGTTTCAGACTAGTTTGTCCTCGAGGTCAGGATGCAGAAAATGGCAATTACTTTCCACTTGAGTCAACATCTTTATAATAACTGCATTTTCAAGTTTTGAAAAAAAAGATCGAGACAATACGTAAATATTTAAAAAAAAAGAGTTCTGTCAACTGTGTAATGTTTTGTTATGCTCTTTTTCGGGTATACTCACTTTATGATTTGAAATAAAATAATAAACTGGGCATGCACGAGAAAGTGTACTGATACCTCATTTAGAGCACCCCAAAGCGTAATCGCTTTACCTCATTTAGAGCACCCCAAAGCGTACTGATACCTCATTTAGAGCACCCCAAAGCGTACTGATACCTCATTTAGAGCACCCCCAAAGTTTTCAAATTCCAAAATTTAGAGAACGCAGATCTTCAAAGGAAAGTTGTGGCGGTCATGCGATAAAGCATCATAAAAAAGACTTGTAATAAAACAAAATAAGATTCTACCAAATATATAAAAATAATACATTATTTAGTTTTTTCAAATTAATTTTTTTTAATTTAACAAAAAAAACACAAGATTTACTTGACAAACTAATATGTAGAATTCATTTGACCATTTATTAAAACCTATCCTTTTAAATTATTTTCTAAAATATTAAGTTTTCTCACATTAAATATCATAAACCACCTGTTTAGGAGTTCAGCATCTTTATTTAATCCTTGATATAAATCCTTTATTAAACATTTTTGATGCAATGAAATTGGTTTTGCTAGACACTAAAATTACATTTGAAAAAGATTTTCAAATAAAACCAGGATGTGCAGTATTTTCAGTGAATTTACCATCAATTATATTATATTAACTGTATTTAAAATGCGTTCTAAGAGAGTCAGTTTCTGGAAATATTACAGGGATCTTAGAAATGATCAAATGTCAATGATATACATGTACAAATAACATGAGAATAAGGCATGGTATTGGTATGCTCTAAATTCATTATCTAATAAATGATTCCTTAAACCTTATCTAATAAATCAACTTACTTGAGTGTCCTCATTTTCAAGAAAATTTCCATAAATAAAGCATCCTCTTTTAGAAGCATGTCCGTGTAAATCCACATAGAATGCTATACCACTGTCACATGGAGGGATATCCCTTAACTTGGCATGATGTAAATGTGGGGCATTATTGTTTGATATCACAGATGGAGTATTATCGTTCTCGTCTTCAGATCCTTCATTCCCGAGATTTTCTGTGTTAATATCTTCGTCATCATCGGAGTCAATCACATGCTGACTCATAATACTGATTCCTTTAGAGAGACGACCACGGAAATCATCAGACATCGTCATCTGAGACAATCTTAACCTTAGATCACTATCAACTCTCTCTTTCTCACCTTGATAACTACTAGCAAAACTTGATGTTGAAGATGATAGCCGTATAGAATCAGCAATGTTTGATTTCTCTTTACGTAGGGCATTATCACTGTCTGATTCTACTAAATCTCCAAGATTTAATCTCTCCACCTTGGGAGAAGTAAACTTTGTAGGAGATTCTGATTTAGTAATGCTGTGTCGTGGTGTACCTGAGATTTGACTTGGTTTTGGAGTATGTGACATAAATACTGTATTATGACTGGTTTGTTCTATGGTGTAAATTTCTAAATCTCCATTTGATATATGACTACTCTCATAGTCATGGGCAGGTTTTGGTTCCGGATGTCTGGGTGTACCTCTAGGAGTTTTGTTGTACATTTTAGAGTCATAATTTCCAGCTGCATTCAGCTGTTGTCTTGGTGTACCATGATAACTTTTTAAAGTTGATTCACTACTTGTTAAACTCTGCGAGCTATGTGCACTTATAGTGCTCCTCTCTGTAAGAGGGTTAGCATTCATGTTTTTATTTTTCTCTTTTCTATGAACATAGAGATTGTGGCTGTTGTGACTAGACAATACAAATCCTCCAGGAAAATTTATATCAATATCAACATTATCATCTTCCTCATGAACAACTCGATTCATAACATGGTAAAACACTAAACAACTTTTTGATGCATAGATGGACGGGTGAAAGTCGAAGCTTGGATCTAGATAAAGTCTGTTAAGATTGACACCTCGTTGATCGGTACGATAATGCCCCCGCGATACACCATCCGGATTCAACATAGGAATCAACTTAAATACAAAATGTTTACGTAGTGATTTGGCACGTGGATCATTTTCACGTAAAATGAAGTCTATAAATCCATTAAATACAGCACTTGCTGGGGTCTCACCTGGATGTACACGGCTACTTAATAAATATACCTGAAAATATAATACAGCAGAATTATTACCAAAATATGTTTCTTTTTAAACAAAAGATAATATTTGTAAAAAGGACACTTATCACCAGATTAATCTACCCTCAGTAAGCATATACTTTAAAATGGATAGTCAACCCAAATGTTTCAACAAAAAGAAATCATCAAAAGACATATTCAAATATCAAATGTACAAACATAACAATAAAATCTTAGTATACAGGACATGAATGTATTGCGCATTAGGGAATAATTAAGCAAAAATCATGCAAGAAACATAGATCTTACAAAGTTAATTCATATAATTTTCCCAAAGACAAGTGTGGAGTTTCAAGTGAATAGCTTTAGTGATAGCAACTCATATTATCCAGCTATAAATAAACAACTTTCTTTGATAGTTTACTAAGGTTAGTTGAAACATATTTATCTTAGCTTGATTGGGAAACAAGTTCTTGCAACTTATATTGATCACTTTCGAGTCCACTTCCTGAAACCAACCAGTACTGGTGTCATATGAAGAAACATGGTCATGACCCAAATAGGGCTCAAACCCATGATCCCTGGGTTGAGAGTCAGACACTAAGGTAAATGTATAGCATGATGTTACCCTTTTGCCTTTGAATTTTTTACATCTTTGTTCTGTATTTCTCTCTGGGAACAAGTTTGAGTCAAAATGAGGCTCGTTCTCATTGATAATACCGTGACACGAGGATATTGTGATGAGGTCAATGCGTAGCTTATCTAGCGAATAACACAATAATTCTCTATGATAGTAGATACTATCTGCAGCACTGAAATAAATATACACAACAGGTCAAAACTTGAAACAATTACTACTTTATATACATTATTGAGGTAAGTATTCAATTTTTGCTATAGTTTTCCTTAATAGACAAGATTTACATAAGTTAATGTTATATACAATTTCTGTCACAAAAACTTTTTACCTATTCCTTACATTAGCTGTAAAGAATAGACCTACAACTTGATCATGACAATTGTCATTTTCATTCTTGAAAATTGATTTATATTTAAACATAAAACTAAGTTTAAGTATTTCACAAGATCAATTAAAATCAATGGGATAGTGATAAAAGTAAAGGTAATATTTCAATTGGAATAAATAATTTCTTTTCATATCAACCATAATGAGATTATTGATTGTAAAATATTTTCATTTAAAATACAAACAGATGAATACAGAAACTGATAGTTATATAAATCATCAATAAAACTAATTGCATATAAATACAGTTTTCATTGAAGAAAATATTGATTATCTCTCTATTAGTTTAAAATAAAAGAACTGAATAACTTTCCTTTGAACAAAAAAGTTGTAAACAGTTGTAATATCTAAATCATACAGAATAACATCTTTCACTGGGCTTAGGCTTCTTCACAATCAAGTGAGAACAATCATTGTACTTGTCAATACATATTGATATACTAGACTTTGTGTACTCTTGTGTTGCTACATGTAATAGTATTAATAAAGTGTTGCTCTATTCTGTTTTATAGCTATATTACCAAGAATGTGTTTGCACAGTTTGGTATTCTGTACAACTGTATTACCAACAACAAGTTTAGTAAACTTTACATTAACTATATTACCTTTCACTTGTTACATTTTTACAATGATGGAACTTTTTATCAAGTTCCTGCAGGCAATCTTGACTTTCTGTATAAGACCAGGGATAACAAAATGCAAAATAAGTTGTAGCACCTCGGAATTCTGGGAAACGATATGTAAATGACAGGATAAACTGTCCATCCACAGTCTGTAAATATATTGTAATAAAGTGATGTTTTAATATGAAACTGCGTTTTTCATGATTACAATGTAACATTTATCACAATTATTTACCTACAAAAAGCACGAACACATACTTCCTAAAATTTTGAAAATCATTTATACAGATTTATACAGGGCAGAACAAAGTGTTACCAGAGGGTTGATTTCATCGTATGATACATAGTTTAAATGAATAAAACAAAATAATGTTATATATATCTAAAAACATGTATACCTCATATGAAGGTCTATCTCTTATTCTTTCCCATTTCTGTCGCCCTGGCACAGTTTTAACTATAGGTGAGTGTCCCTGGCTATACAGCTTTCCCTGACGGTTCATATTTACAATATTTAATTTGATCAGACGACCTGGATTCCAACCTCGTACACCAAAATAAAACCAGGACCTGAAGTACAAAATGTTTAGTCTCATAATTTGATTATATCATTATCAATTAGTAACTAAAAATAACTTTTTTTTTCACATACACTGACAATGACATAAATTTTATTCTCTCAAAGGCCAGAGGCTCATGCAAAAATATACATACACAATTTGTATATATAAATTGTACAATACGTAGACATAGTGAGTGTAGTCTTTGATAATACATGTATATACACTATAAAAACTTTGTGGAGACTGAACAAACATAACATATAACACAAAATAAATGCAAATAATATAATTATTGTCTAAAAATGTAAAAATAAATAAAGATTTATTTAATTCAGTTTTAATAATCATTAAATGTATATATAATTGCATCACTTTGTGTGAGTAATAGAAATATTTTGATAAATGTATGCAAAAGCTTTGATGTCAAGAAATTCAATTTTCAACTTTATCCACTTAGAATGTTTGTGCCCTTTACTTGTAAGCTTTAAATATGCTTGTATTAAAAACAGTTGCTATACATATATTTATGTGATTTTTATTGTCCATATAAATTAGTTTCATGTTAAGATAATGTATATTTGTTTTAAGACTAGAAGATTAAAATTCTACCCTGTTCCATTCTGTAATCATTGAATATTCAACACACATTTGATGCTTGTATAAAAGAATGTTATCAATTATTGTATGATGAAACCGAAGTAAATCATATCTAAACTATTAATATCATTTTTATCTAAGGTTAAGCTATAAAAAATCATAAATTTGTATATATGTACACAAGTATATATGTATATAAGTGCTGTTTATTATTTATTTACTTTGTTAGGATATATTATTGCACATGTTGACAATAAAGCCATGAAGGCAGTGATTTTCCTTCTTATATAACAGACTCCGAAAAAGGGCCTATTCCCAATTGAAATTTTCTTTAAAATCATGCAGTTTTCCCAAAAATCTGAACTTAAACCTGCTTTTTTTCTTCCCAAATAAGCAATTTTAGCGATAATTTTTCCCAAATTCAAGAGGCTAAGGCCTCTTCCCAATTAAGCAAGAAAAATCACTGGAAGGATTATATTTTGTTACATTTAGTATATATGTTACCTGTTGCCGTTTTCAAATTCAGTACCAGCACAATCTGGTTTTGTCCACACATTAAACTCATAGTCTGCTTTTATCTCACTGAAGTATTTACCACCTAGAAAACAACATCAACACTATTAGTTATTTACTTTGTTCAACTACAGTTAAAGGGACCCCACTGAGGTTTTAAAGCTTAAAAACATAACATTTGAATTTATTACATACATGAGCTGGGGCACTTTAAACAGAAATATATGCAAAGATAGTTAAGAAATATACTTTGAAATAAATTGAAAATTGTATTTTTATGCTTTTCTTAGGCCGTTTTGAGTGAAAAGCGTTTAAACGTCTTTCATTTTGTGTTATATTTTTTACAATTTGAATAATTATTCCAGAAAAACAATGTGCGCGAATGATCTGAAATTTTGCACAAAGATTAGTGGTCTAAACCTACTTCAAATGGTCCATTTATCTGGAAAAAATATTTTCAGTCCGATCATTTCAAAAAACCTCAATGGAGTCCCTTTAACAACAGTTATTTTACATTTATATTTATCCCCAAGATTCTATTGAACATGCAGTATTTGTTTATGGTTAAGTTTGGTCACTGCTAAAAGGTTTAACATTTTTTCATTACATCTTTCGATATTTGAATAAAAGACATGCACCATGTTCGAGGGAAATATTTTGTGATTCCAATGGTACATATTTTTTCCATTGTAGCTTGTTGCAGAAATTATGACACATATTTTTATCAAAATATTGCCACATAGAAACATTTTTGCAAGCTTAACAGATAAGAATAAAATCTTTTCGGAAATTATATGTATTATTTAAAAAAAAATACATCTATAAATACAAATGCACATATTTCTTGTATAATACAGTAATAGAAGATTTATTTTATTTAATAACGTTCCTTTAACATGCCATATGCGGCACAGGCATAGATGTTTGTTTGGTGTGTTTACATCATTCCTTTGTTACTGATGAAACTTATTAAACGAAACATATTTTGATAAGTAGTGTTGGTTTTTGATCTTTTTATCCTTTGGAAAATAATGAAAGTTGCTATGTCTGTCAGAAGAAATCATTAATAGGTCTCTATTGATAACTTTAAAGTTATGTTTCAAAACTGATCAGTGATTTTTCCCAGTGTTTTGTAAATGGTTACAGGGTCCTTAGAATTGTGATAGTAAGTGTCGTAATGCCATTATCTATGAAAATAGTACTATTTTATACAGCTAAAATTTAGCTATAACATAAACAAACTGTCATCATGCTTTGGAAAATTCACTGGTAACACCCTATAAAATAAAGTCTTATAGTTTAATGTCTGCTTTTCATGTTTTTAAGGTCTTGACAACTTTTCCAAAGACTAGAAAATGAAAATTGTGAATTTTAATAAAGCAGTTGGTGAAAAAAGGACACTTTTTGGCTTTGTAAATAGGGCCATATTTCTACCCTAAAACTGTGTAAAAAAAAAACACTGTTGATAGACATGTTAAGTTATGAGTTTTTTCTATCATGAGTAGTGTCTGATTTATCATACCTCCAGAGTCATCGTCATCATCATCTTTTGTAACCTTCTCAACTCGTGCAAGATTGCCTGAATCAAACTTGGACGTAAACAGCAGACCTCCACATCTAGCCTCCATCTTTGTTAGTTAATGTTAGTACTGTATATATACCTGTGAATGTAAAAAAGCGGACATATTAACATTCTTAAGAAAGAATCTGTGTTTGCTTTAAGTAATTATGCATCCCATGTAATGAAATAAAGATAAACATGTATAGTTATCTTCTTGATGTTACTAAACTTAAGTCTATTTTGTTTTTGTTCTTATAGTGACTTGTAGATGGTCTTTACATCAAACTAATGCGCTATTAGGATAAAATAGATGCAAAGGAGTAAGAATTTTTACAAACCAGAATACTAATATCAATACTTCCAGTGTCATTTGCAGGCATGAAGAAATGACTTAGCAATCATTTAGAGGCAGAAAAATAAACCATTGCCTCTACCAGGTCCTTAACAGACGACTTTATAACTAACATTCATCAAGAGCATTAATTTTGATCATGAACAGTGATTAGGTCACAACTTTTCTAGTAAAAGATTGCCTTTCAAAATAGTAAAAGAAGTGTAGCGATTATAGGAACAACCCTTTTCGCAATATGTTATACGGGGAAGTCAAAGAACGGGCCCGCGAAGCGGGTCCGGGCTTTGGCTTGCCCGGCTATAGACTACATGTGTATATTTAAAAGAAAATCAATTAAAAAACAATTAAAAAATATATAGAATTCTACTGGTTGGGGAGATAACTTCGGCTGGTTGATAAACTCGGCTTTTTATAATTAAATCGAGTTATCGGAATTTTTAATCTAATTAAGCTCACCATCTCATACTATCGCTGGAATTCGACAATATCTGGAAATTTTGTCAAGTTTGGTAAGATATTAAAAAAACAAGATATGTTTGTAAAACATGTATGCCCCCTATCAGCAGCCAATTATTCATGTGATAAGGTAATTATGCATGACTTCTGACCCAGTGATCAAACAATTAATAAGGGTTATCAAGTATCTACTGGCCATGACCTTGACCTTTGACCCCTTGACCCAAAACTCAATAGGGGTCATCTGCTGGTCAAGACAAATCATCATACAAAGTTTGAAGTTCCTAGGCCTAAGCGTTTTTACTTAATTGATCAGAAACCGTTTTTACTTACAAGGTCAATGTGACCTTGACCTTTGACCCCTTGACCCCAAAATCAATAGGGGTCATTTGCTGGTCATGACTAATCACCATGCCAAGTTTGAAGTTCCTAGGCCTAAGGGTTCTTTTATTATTGATCCGAAACCGTTTTAACATACAAGGTCAATGTGACCTTGACCTTTGACCCCAAAATCAATAGGGGTCATCTGCTGATCATGACCAATCACTATGCCAAGTTTGAAGTTCCTAGGCCCAAGTGTTCTTTAGTTATTGATCAGAAACCGTTTTTACTTACAAGGTCAATGGGACCTTGACCTTTGACCCCTTGATCCCAAAATCGAAAGGGGGTAATCTGCTGGTCATGAAAAATCACCATACCAAGTTTGAAGTTCCTAGGCCTAAGCGTTCTTAAGTTATTGATCAGAAACCTTTTTACTTACAAGGTCGATGTGACCTTGACCTTTGACCCCTTGACCCAAAACTCAATAGGGGTCATCTGCTGGTCACCACCAATCATCATACAAAGTTTGAAGTTCCTAGGCCTAAGCGTTTTTAGTTAATTGATCAGAAACCGTTTTAACCTACAAGGTCAATGTTACATGACCTTTGACCCCTTGACCCTAAAAACAATAGGTCATCTGCTGGTCATGACCAATCACCATACCAAGTTTGAAGTTCCTAGGCCTAAGGGTTCTTAAGTTATTGATCGGAAAGCATTTTTACCTACAAGGTCAATGTGACCTTTCCCTTTGACCCCTTACCCCAAAATCAGTAGGGGTCATCTGCTGGTCATGACCAATCACCATACCAAGTTTGAAGTTCCTAGGCCTAAGGGTTCTTTAGTTTATTGATCGGAAACTGCTTTTACCTAAGAGGTCAATGTGACCTTGACCTTTGACCCCTTGACCCCAAAATCAATAGGGGTCATCTACTGATCATGACCAATCACCATACCAAGTTTGAAGTTCCTAGGCCTAAGGGTTCTTTAGTTATTGATCCGAAACTGTTTTTACCTAAGAGGTCAATGTGACCTTGACCTTTGACCCCTTGACCCCAAAATCAATAGGGTCATCTACTGATCATGACCAATCACCATATCAAGTTTGTAGTCCCTAGGCCTAAGGGTTCTTTCGTTATTGATCGGAAACAGTTTTTTACCTACAAAGGTCAATGTGACCTTGACCTTTAACCCCTTAACTCCAAAATCAATAGGGGTCATCTACTGATCATGACCAATCACCATATCAAGTTTGAAGTCCCTAGGCCTAAGGGTTCTTTCGTTATTGATCGGAAACCGTTTTTACCTACAAGGTCAATGTGACCTTGACCTTTGACCACTTAACCCCAAAATCAATAGGGGTCATCTGCTGGTCATAACCAATCACCTATACCAAGTTTGAAGTTCCTAGGCCTAAGGGTTCTTTTGTTATTGATCGGAAACCGTTTTTACCCAAGAGGTCAATGTGACCTTGACCTTTGACCCCTTGACCCCAAAATCGTTAGGGGTCATCTACTGATCATGACCAATCACCATACCAAGTTTTGAAGTTCCTAGGCCTTAGGGTTCTTTACTTATTGATCGGAAACCGTTTTTGCTTACAAGGTCAATGTGACCTTGACCTTTGACCCCTTGACCCCAAAATCAATAGGGGTCATCTACTGATCATGACAAATCACCATACCAAGTTTGAAGTTCCTAGGCCTTAAGGTTCTTTAGTTATTGATCGGAAACCGTTTTTGCTTACAAGGTCAATGTGACCTTGACCTTTGACCCCTTGACCCCAAAATCAATAGGGGTCATCTACTGATCATGACAAATCACCATACCAAGTTTGAAGTTCCTAGGCCTTAAGGTTCTTTAGTTATTGATCGGAAACCGTTTTTGCTTACAAGGTCAATGTGACCTTGACCTTTGACCCCTTGACCCCAAAATCAATAGGGGTCATCTACTTGTCATGACTAATCACCATACCAAGTTTGAAGTTCCTAGGCCTAAGGGTTCTTTAGTTATCACTCGGAAACCATTTGGTCTACGGACCGACGGACCGACGGACCGACAAGTGCAAAGCAATATACCCCCTTTTTTTCAAAAGGGGGCATAATAACACAATCTTTTACCTGTTTGTTTACAAAACATGCCTATAAACATTACAGGAATCCCATTGTTGTGCCCATGCAGCAGATGCTCATGTTGAGGCCTGCACATGGGTACTTTTATATATTGACCGAGTACCGGTAAAGAAGACGACGTTTACGTATACATTTTGTAGATTTAATTCAGACTCACTTTGTCTTGCTAACTCAGAAAAAAGGCTGATTACACAATTGTAATCTTTAAGTGGAATGGATTGAAAGACTGATGTTAATTGCTCCTTTTATATGCTAATGTGTAGGTTGAATACCACTAAATTAATTTCTTCTTCACTCTGTTAAGCTAAGCAAAAATTTTTTTTAATCACTAATTCTTTAACTACAACGTAAACGTAAACAAATAAATGAAATATGCCCCCAAAACACTGATTTTCGGCCGAGTTTATCTCCCAAACCAGTATACCTATCAATGAAATTTCCAGTGTCAGTTCTAGTCGGGCGCCGCCATTTACAATGTAACTCAATGATAAAAGGCGGGGTATTCCGATAACGGAACAAATCTCAACTTTTCGGATAAATGATAATCGTCGAGTGTTCCGAGTGTAACAAAAGCGGTGCATGTAATACCGAATGACACCTTTAAAACGGAAAGAATGAAAGGAATTTTTAACAACTTCCCCGTTCATAGGCTTTGCCTAATTTCATATTATTAAAGTATTTGCCCAGTAAACTGTTGAGTAAACAAGTGGTCTGAATTGAAACCCCAGTCTGTACCTAGGCTAACAATATTTCTGGTGACAGTTGTTCATCTGCTGTAAGTTCCATTATTTGTCACGATAGCATGTTACTGCAGAGCTCCAGATAGCGTGCGTATAAGCGTAAAATACGCATAGAAAATCTAAAATACGCATCACTTTCAAAATTCGTGCGTCACAGTTACGCACAACAAAATGAAAATACGCTTGTATGTCAAAATTTATGCGTAAAAGAGTAGAAGTGTAAACATTTGATATGTAGAAAGAAAAAGTTTTGAGCATAAAAATACAATTTATTTCCATTTTATTGCATTGAAAACTAAATATTCTGTTGTCAACAACGCATGTTAAAGGAAATACAGAAGGGAAGTAACTCCCGTAGATCAACCTGTGAAATTATTGATGAAATTTGTGCCAGATAATCATCGTAGGAGTAAACACAATTTTAAGTTTGTTTAGGCATCTATTTGACATGCTTATGCCTCAATATAAACAAAAATATATTTTAATTTCTTTAACTTTTGTTGTTGGAACAAAATAACATGTTTTTCACCTGCAGTTTTGTACTCAATATTTTCGTACCCAGTCTACAGTTACGGACAATTTTCTCTCAGACCAATACCTTTTTTAAGGAAAGATAAAAAAAATCTTGTTTATGTTTCTTTAATTTTAATTTCAACTATAATTGTTCAAACTGGAGAACATGATAAGGTGCATGCCAACAGAAATAAAAAAAGAAAAATATTGACTCCTAGAAAATAAAATAATTTCATGCCTTCCACTAGTGGAAGTTTGGGAGTCATTTACTCCTTCATTTTGGCCTGTGACTTCCTAAAATCAATACTTTTCATTATTTACCTATATAATGTGACTTCCAATATCAGAGATTTTGAAGTCTTTGACTTCCAAATTTTGAAAATGGAAGCCCTGATAATTTTGCTGTGTATCCTAAACTTGAGTTCCAGTATACTCTGGAAGTCTGACTTTACATGGCATGCTTTGTATTGTTTCACATTAAATCAGTATTCAATTTGTAAAGGTTTTTCTAAAAAAAGAAAATAAACAAACAAACAAAACAATAAGTTTAATTTGTTTAAAAAAAATGCAAAATGCTTTTTTGACAGATTTTACCCCTTAAGTTTTTCAGAATTTGCATTTTACCCCTCACTCTAAATTTTGAGGGGTAAAAACCCCTTGGCCAAAAAAATTATCTGGAGCTCTGGTTACTGAATATGTCACCTTTGAAGAACAGCCAAAATCGGTATCTTTTAAAAGGCTGATCTTCACATAAATGTCAATGAACAAAAGTCAAGGCAGAGATGTGGTTTAGATTTGGTGTACCTAACTAACTTAAACAGAGTAAAATCATGTTTGTGCAGCTCATGACCCTTGACATGTTCTTTTCTTTGATGATGATCATAGCCTAGTGCAAAAGTGTCTTTTATTATAAATTAAACAAACCAAGTGTAGGCGAGTAGGTCAATAGTTGATTAAGCAAAAGTTTCTTATCTAGAAAATAAACTCCAAATTACCATCACACCGTCCATAAATTAAGCACTTATTAAATTTACTTCATAAACATTGCCATTTGTAGCCGGCAGCCATTTTGTAAACTATGGTGGTTGCTTACCATGTGACATAAACAGACACATTTTATTGGCTGATATACTATGTCACATGATCATAAAATGGAAGATGATAAAAAATTTGTACACAGGGCATCAATCCACTAAATAACTACTTTAGAGAAAATACAACTAAATTCTTTTCCTGCATTATTTGTATGACATTGTATGATACCACATTCGGAATCATAGAATAAAACATTTTTAGCCTTACAGTACACTTTATTGATAAAAATATACTTTTTGCATATTATCGCCGCATCTAATGAAACAGACGATGAGGCGATACCGGCTTGATTTTTTAATTATTTTAAAATTTATCTTAAGTACCAAGGTTTTTTATGCTGATCTTTCTTTAAATAATTTTCTTTTGAGCCTATACTACACGTTACACCCAATTATTTCTTTAAATCAAATTGTCCGTGCTAACATTGGAATATGTACGCAAGTTGAAAAAATAAGACATAACTTTCGGAGATTTTAAAGTGTCAATCCGTACGTCTGTCTCTGCCAGACGAAATTTGTTGTTATTTTAAAAAGAAACGGTTATGTTATTATTTATTGATAATTTCACAAATACACACATATACGAGATTACGTGTTTTAAACATTTAACGAATGTAATGTTTGTTTTCTTTTCTTTTTTCGTAGTTTATTGAGATTTTATAAATTTTGAATAAAAAAAGTACCTTTATGTTTCTATTACTTTGTTCATAATCAGTACATGTATTGTAATATGGATTGTCTGTATCGTTATATATCGCAATACTGGGTGCACCCCTGTCAATATAATAGTCGAGCATTTTTTTCGCTTGCGTAATAACACGTCGCTTGGCTAAAAAATGCAGCAACACTAACCCAGACTCTGAATATGTCACTGGTCAGCGATATTTGTTTATTTTACCCCAGAATAACTACAGACATCTGATAAATTGTTTAAAGTCCCGTTTTATCGGGAAAAAGACAACTTAATACATGTTCCATTGTTTAGTGTCATCTAGAGTGAAATACTGTATATTTCGCAAAATTTAACTTAGAAACTACGATATTGGCAGCTGAACATTGACCTACAAATGGCAGTGACAATCTGATTTTAAATGCCAGTAAAAGCTAAAAATACCGTCAACGAAAACTTTTACATTATTCGGTCGTACCACTATGATATAATAGGTTTTGCAAGTTATTCAATTATTACATTTTGGATTTTTATTGAAATATAGAAGAATAAAAGTTGGTATGGACAGGTTAACCTGAGTAGCGTAGTGGTTAAAAGGTTTACTTATAAATATGTTTTTGCAAATGTGCACTTTTTTGAGTACATGTACATTCAGAATATATTTTTTTCATACTCTGTCACGTAAAGTTTAAATTTCTCTTTTATAAACCTGTACATGTAATAAATTTAATGTTTTGCGCAACTGAAAGTTAAACTTTAAGCAAAATTGAACGTATTTGATTTTTAACAATCATTGTTTCAAACCATGTAAAATAACATGATAAAAATCACACAATCTCATCTCACGTGCAACCTCTGTTTGATTCTGTGTAAAAGTGCAACATCTCTCCTGCCTCACAGCATCGGTTTAAAGTGGTAAATTCTCAACACTAACATGCTGGAATCAATGATACTGAACGACCAGAAAAATATAACAAAAACAAAGTGAAGTACCGGGCAACTTTTTACAGCTGCCACACAACACTTGACACCTGAAACTCACAGCACCCAATATACAGTAGGACATTAAACAAGAGCCATGCTAACATGGCCATCCCCCACCGAATGTGTTTGCTCAATGGAAGAATGAAATGTAGTAGAGAAGAATAATTCAATTTTAAGAGGTCTTTTAGTAATGGGTAAAACTGATGGCTGAAGTGATTACAGACTTGAAACCTATGTGAATACTGATGGCTGAAAATAACAAAGGGCAATAACTGAAAAATAATGCAGGGTAGGTTATCATTCTTGTGTGCTGCACTCCTCCTCAATGAGATCTATCCACCTATGAAGTTTCAAGTCGATACCTCTAACACTTTTGAGATAAGCTCCGGAGAAAAAGTATGAAAAATAACAAAAGGCAAAAACTCAAAAATTATGAAGGGAAGAGTTATCATTCTTGTGCACTGCACACCTCCTGAGTGAGATATCTCCACCTATGCAGTTTCATGTTGATATCAAAAAGGCTTTGCAAGTTATGATCTGGACAAAAATTAAGTTTGAAAAATAACAAAGGGCAATAACTGAAAAATTATGCAGGTTAGAGTATTCATTATTGTGCAATGCTCTCCTCCTCACTATGAGCTATCCACCTATGAAGTTTCAAGTTGATATCTCAAATACTTTTTAAGATATGCTCCAGACAAAAATGTCGGACAGAAGGAGACTATTTCTATATCCCCCACTGCCTTTCAGCGGGGGATAATAAACATTATCATGATATGGTGGAATAAACAATAAAGAACATAAAAAACAAAAGATTTTATTACCTCTGAAATCTCCACAAACATATTTCAATACAAACACATTCTGTTACTATCATGATTTTTGTTGAAACTCTGACAAAAATGTCCCTATTTCAATAAAAACATTATCATGAAACAAAAATGCCCATTGAGCCGCGTCACGACAAAACGAACGTAATGTGTTTGCGACCATCATGGATCCAGACCAGCCTGATCAGGATCCATGCTGTTCGCTATCAGTTTCTCTATTTGTAAAAGAGTTTGTAAGCGAACAGCATGGATCCTGATCAGACTGCGCGGATGTGCAGGCTGGTCTGAATCCATGCTGTTCGCAAACGCCCTATGTTGGTTTTGTCGTGGCGCGGCTCATTTATATTTAAATGAGTCATTAAGTAACATATGATAACATCAACATCTTGGTTCTATCACAGTCAATCACAATATTTCCACATCCCATGTCTTATTAAATCTCATTCCTAGAGGTGTAGTGTTTACATACACATAGAAGAAAGTGCTCATAAATAAAGTTATAAATCAGTTTTCAAAAAAGTTTGTAGAATGTCATTTAAAAAATAAAATATTATTTTGTCAAAATACTCTAGTTAAGACGAGTTTATAAAAAAAACAAATGTGTAATAAATTCTAGTATAAAACTTCTACAATAAATGTGTTAACCTACAAGATCTAGAGCACTTGAATCAATTCGAAATAAGAGAGAGAGAGTGGACAAAATAGAAGAATGTAGGCATAGTAAATAGGTATAAATAAAATACAACATTAAATAAATGATTCATCCTCTCTCACACTTTATCATTACTGTTATAATATATACTTGATGCATACTTGCGGGATTTTTTTCTTTATTTTTTTTTTGCTCATTAAATTTGTTAACTGAATATTTCTTACAAGTGTTTTTTTTATCATCCACTTTTTCCCTTGTCTACTGTAAACGAAAGTTCTTAACATTTTCCTATTTTTCTTTCAAAAGTTAAGAAAAAATAGACATTTTTCCCCCTAAGAAGTGTTTTTTTAAGTTTGTTTATATATTTTCATACATACAATGGAATTACATGATCCTTGTGGATCATAAAGTATACATCAGGGATGTAATCCAGATTTTACAAACATGCATTCACAAACTTCCATGAAAAGTACAACATGAAAATAAAATGTTCCTACCCTATTGTCAACCAGGATTTAAATATATATAACAGTGCCAAGGTTTATAATTAAGCAAGTAAAATATATTGTAATTTATTGTCCCTCATATCAATAACATAAAGACTATCAGAAATATTCCACTGAAAAATCACAAGAAAAAAATCACATTTTTTAATTTACAATTCAATGATCACTTGAAATTCCACTCAAATATAAATTGAATATAATTAAGAGAAGTTAAAAAAAAAAATTCACAAAGTTCATTTGGTTCATATGTGTATATTTTTGCTGTTTTTTTTATAGAAGAAGTGTAGCTGGAGAGATTAAGCAGTATACGGTGGTGGCAGGGGACCTGTAGGTTGACACTTCATAGCTTCCTCATACTTGGGTGGTAGTAGCATCTGAAAATATATATTATACTGTAAATATTAATATCATTACACACATTTTATAATGTTAAACTGTTTAATCCATAACCAAGTGAACTTCTACAACAGATCTGTTCAGCTTACATTTATTTAACTGCACATTATTATATTTTAGAGGTGGTAAAGATGTTGATTTAATGTTGTTCAGCCAACATTCAAACACACTTCAGATTATTCTTCTATAAAACAGATAGAACACTCAACAGTAGAGTGCATAATTATACGATATATATGCACAGCATAAAAAAGAAATGTTATGATGTCACTTGATGACAGATATGACGTCAATAAACTAAATGACTTTCTTCAATATACAAATGTCCACATGGAATTGTAAAATATCTGTGTTATAGATTGAACTGTGCAAATGATTTACATAGTCAAATGTGTGTATATGTATAGTTTTTTATTTTCAATTTACAATTTAATATGATGCTACTAAAATATTTAAGTTCAAACAAACTAACTGTAACCAAGTGCTATATTTAAGGTTTATTGTAGGGCTGGGAATGAATAAGGAATTGGATGTTTGAATTTTCGTTTTCCATATTCGAATATATTCGAATATTCGTTTTTTACAACATTTGTTCCGATATTTCTCTTTGACGTATACGTATCCGAAATTGATTGCGTCGAATATTATACTACTTTAAAATGCTTGGAATAATCGGCGATTAAAAAGACCTTTATTGCTATGTTAAAGTTTAATTTTATTTTATATATTGTAATCGAGATATATGTTTACTTGAATAAAATCATAATTTGATTGTCTTTTTGTTCGGTAAACCCGACCACTGTCTTATCAACGGGAAGGTAACTCACGTGACTTGACTGACAGTAATATGAATCATCGTAGCCTCTTGTAAGCCCCAAAATTTAACAAGTAGGGCCATGATGGCCCTGAGGTCGCTCACCTGTATATAGGCCTCCCCCCCCAGGCCAATTTAACACAAGGGCTTTTATTTGAACAAACTTGGTAGACACCCAATAGAAGATGTTTTCATGCTAAACATCTAAAGCTCTAGCTCATTGGGTTTTTCAAAGATTTTTTTAATTTTTTTTACTATACACATATAGTTAAAAACAATGACACCCCTGGGGCGGGCCAATTTTGACCCCAGGGCTTTATTTGGACAAACTTTGTAGACACTTACTTAGAAGATGTTTCATGCTTTAATATCTAAACTCTAGCTATTTGGGTTTTTTCAAAGAAGATTTTTTAAGTTTTTGCTATACACATATAACGACAATCAATGACCCCCCGGGTGGGGCCAATTTTGACCCCAGGGCTTTTATTAGAACCAAACTTTGTAGGACACTCATTAGAAGATGTTTCATGCTTAATTATCTAGACTGTAGCTATTTGGGTTTTTTCAAAGAAGATTTTTAAGTTTTTGCTATACACATATAAGGAAAATCAATGAACCCCCGGGGCTGGGGCCAATTTTGACCCCAGGGTCTTTTATTTGAACAAACTTTGTAGACACTCACTAGAAGATGTTTCATGCTTAATATCTAGACTCTAGCTATTTGGTTTTTTCAAAGAAGATTTTTTTAAGTTTTTGCTATACACAATATTAGGAAAATCAATGACCCCCTGGGCCGGGCGCCAATTTTGACCCCAGGGGCTTTTATTTGAACAAACTTGGTAGACAAACCATTAGAACATGTTTCATGCTAAATATCTTAGCTCTAGCTCTTTGGGTTCTTTTAAAAGAAGATTTTAAAGTTTTTTACTATATGCATATAGGCGGTCAAAATCAATGACCCCTGGGGCGGGCGCCAATTTTGACCCCAGCGGCTTTATTTTGAACAAACTTGTAGACAACCATTAGAACATGTTTTCATGCTAAATATCTTAGCTCTAGCCTCTTTGGGTTCTTTAAAAGAAGATTTTCAAAGTTTTTACTATATGCATATAGGGAAAATCAATGACCCCCTGGGGCGCGGGCCAATTTTGACCCCCAGGGCTATATTTGATCAAACTTGGTAGGACACTCACTAGAAGATGTTCATGCCAAATATCTAAGCTCTAGCTCTTACGGTTTTTTTAAAAGAAGATATTTTAAGTTTTTTCTTTTTCGGTTGACCATGGCAACCAGAGTTCTGCATGGAATTAAATTCTTTGAACAATTTTTAAAGGGTGACCACCAAGGAACATCCTGTGAAGTTTGGATTGAAATTTGGCTTAGTGGTTTATGAGGAGATGTCATTTTAAAGTAAAAAGTTGCACGGTACACGACGCCGGACGACGGACGAAAAAAAGCGCATCACAAAAAAGCTCTCCCTGTCACTTTGTGAACAGGTTGCAGCTTAAAAACACATAATTTATATTGGAACTTAACTTGATATAAAATATTTTATTTATAATTTTAGAATAAAAGTTTAAAATAATTCTTAAATTATACGCGAGTTACAATGTAAATATCACACGGAGTCTAATGTCGTACGGAAATAAATATATTCTGACGGAATTTACACCACTTCCTCATGCTTCATAACCAAGTCGATTAATTTGCGTGCGATTTATTCTTATTCACAAAATTTTTAAGCACAATTATTGATAAATCAGAAAGATTATAACGAAAAAATAATAGGGATAATTAAAATCCATTAAACTGTTTAAACGGGTAAATTTGCAAACTGTGCAAACAGCAACTAGACCCCAAAGGTTTTCACAGTTTAATTGGCCCAGGCGTCATACAAATATTTTTGAACACCTGGTCAAGGAAATTGGAAAAAGGTTTAATTTACGATCTTCATTGAAATTTGAAAATAATGACAAACAAGAGGGCCATGATGGAAACCTGAGGTCGCTCACCTGTATATAGCCCCCCCCCCCCCGGCCAATTTTTACCCAAGGGCTTTTATTTGTTTATTTGAACAAACTTGGTAGATACCCATAAGAAGATGTTTCATGCTAAACATCTAAGTTCTAGCTCATTGGGTTTTTTTTAAAAGAAGATTTTTTAAGTTTTTTACTATACCATATAGTTAAAAAACAATGACACCCCTGGGCAGGGCCAGTTTTGACCCCCGGGCTTTTATTTGAACAAACTTTGTAGATATTTACTTAAAGATGTTTTATGCTTAATATCTAAACTCTAGCAATTTGGGTTTTTCAAAGAAGATTTTTAAGTTTTTGCTATACACATATAAGGAAATCAATGACCCCCGGGGCGGGGCAGTTTTGACCCCAGGGCTTTTATTTGAACATACTTGGTAGACACCCATTAGAACATGTTTCATGCTAAATATCTTAGCTCTAGCTCTTTGGGTTCTTTAAAAGAAGATTTTTTAAGTTTTTACTATATGCATATAGGGAAAATCAATGACCCCCTGGGGCGGGGCAATTTTGACCCAAGGGCTTTTATTTCAACAAACTTGATAGACATTCACTAGAAGATGTTTCATGCCAAAATATCTAAGCTCTAGCTCTTAAGGTTCTTTTAAAAGAAGATTTTTTTAAGTTTTTACTATATGCATATAGGGAAAATCAATGACCCCCTGGGGCGGGGCCAATTTTTGACCCCAGGGTTTTTATTTGAACAAACTTGGTAGACATTCACTAGAAGATGTTTCATGCAAATATCTAAGCTCTAGCTCTTACAGTTTCTTTAAAAGAAGATTTTTTTAAATTTTTACTATATGCATATAGGGAAAATCAATGAACCCCCGGGGCGGGGCCAATTTTGACCCCAGGGCTTTATTTGAACAAACTTGGTAGACACTCATTAAGAAGATGTTTCATGCCAAATATCTTAGCTCTAGCTCTTTGGGTTCTTTAAAAGAAGATTTTTTAAGTTTTTACTATATGCATATAGGGAAAATCAATGACCCCTGGGGCGGGGCAATTTTGACCCCAGGTTTTTATTTGAACAAACTTGGCAGACAGTCACTAGAAGATGTTTTCATGCCCAAATATCTAAGCTCTAGCTCTTACAGTTCTTTAAAAGAAGATTTTTTAAGTTTTTACTATATGCATATAGGGGAAAATCAATGACCCCCCAGGGCGGGCCAATTTTGACCCAGGGCTTTTATTTGAACAAACTTGGTAGACATTCACTAGAAGATGTTTTATGCCAAATATCTTAGCTCTAGCTCTTTGGGTTCTTTAAAAGAAGATTTTTTAAGTTTTTACTATATGCATATAGGGAAATCTATGACCCCCTGGGGCGGGGCCAATTTTGACCCCAGGGCTTTTATTTGAACAAACTTGGTAGACACTCATTTAGAAGATGTTTCATGCCAAATATCTAAGCTCTAGCTCCTTAGGGTTGTTTAAAGAAGAATATTAAAGATTTTTCTTTTGCCATTGCCATGGCAACCAGAGTTCTGTATGGAATTAAATTCTTTGAACAATTTTTAAAGGTGACCACCAAAGGAACATTCCTGTGAAGTTTGGATGAAATTGGCTCAGTGGTTTATGAGGAGATGTCATTTAAAGCAAAAGTTTACGGACGACGGACGGACGGACGAAAAGCGATCACAAAAGCTCACCCTGTCACTTTGTGACAGGTGAGCTAAAAATAAAACATTGCTCTTTTTTTTCCAATATTCGTATTCGTTTTTCAATGTTCGAATATTCGGTAGTGTTTCGAATATTCGAATATAATTCCCGGCCCTAGTTTATTGTTATTTTCCAAGAAAGACAACTCTGTCAATCTTGTTTGGTTCTTAACTTGGTATGATTATGTCCCTTTGACCAAATTTGCTATCTGTTGATATATATAAAGTTAGGGTCACCTGAGGTCATTCAATGTGTAAATGTGTAATCAGAAGTTGTTGGTCATTGTGACATGTATATGTTTTCTAACTTAGAAATAATTATTTAAATATTAAGGTTTGAGGAATTTGGTATTGGTATATTTTATTCATTTATTCTTAAAAGTTCTAATGTCTATACAGTTGTGGATTTGATAAAAGTTATTTTGATAAATTTGTATTGTTCTTGAGTGTTAGATTTCAAAATGGCAGCATATGTTCTTATCTTACAGAAATTCCTAGAAATCACTGTTTCTATTTGTTATGCACTGATGTTTATAATTTACAGTAATTGCAGTACAGCTAGCTAATACAGCAGTGTGAGTGACAAGAGGTATAGTTCACAGTGTCTGATGGCATGTTATATTGTAATTTATATGTCATTGTTTATATATTTTTGAAGCTACAATGTATATTTTTAAGTTAAGCATATATTGTTTTTTAAGTAAATGATTAAGTGGTCACTAGATGCAGGTACAATACGATGTAATACATTTAATTCTTGTATATCAGACAGGATTATCTACCGTTTACATCGGTGCTAGAAAACCCTGTCTTACACCCATCATTGCCGCGCGCCTTTTATGAATGAATTGCATTCTTAGGATTACGTCATTATATCATTATGAATGAAGTTGTAAGTTCATACGCTACTTTAAGAAAAAAGTGTGTACAATGAGAATATCAGTTTTCGTAATTTCTGTTCTGAAAATAATTGACATGTAACATGCAAGAAAAAGAATCAAACACCGGCTGTCGGTACAGACGGGAATATCTAGCTCTCGGGGTAATTGTTTAGCAGAAACTCGACAGAGGCTTGTTACCGCCGTAAACAGTTACCCTCGAGCTAGATATTCCAGTCTGTACCGGCAGTCTGTGTAAGATTCTTATAATATGTATTTCATGTGTACATGATTTATTTAGATACGATATAATGAATGGACTATTCCTATAGACTGATCTGTTGATAAAATAGATTAATGATATTTAAGGAATTGTTATGTATAAAACTATATATTTCATGATAGTATGGAATGTTTAATATCTATATATATATATGAGTTTGAATGATAGTGTCCACTACAAATTAAATTTACAAACCTGTAACCCTCAGTTTTGTTCTTATTTATAAAAGGGAAAAAGACATCGGGGTCACATAACTGTATATAGATTACCGTCTGGTTTTCATTTAAGGTTCAAGGTGTATTATAAGCAGAATTATGAATACTATCAATATATTGTATATGTACCTCACTATCAGGATCAAGTGTATATTCTCTCACTACACTTCTGTTCATATTCCTCAGTTGTAGGTACTTGTAGCATGCCCACACCATGTTGATCAGGTAAGCCTACAAATATACAATAATCTTATCACAATTTACACAGCACCTGTCAGGAAGGTTTCGGATTTATTAACTGTTACCCTGCTAAGTTTGCATTATGTACTGACTCTGCTGTCAAATGTATAATTAAAAAAAAAACATTTTATAACTTACCAGGCCCCTAATTGCTAGCCTAGAGTAACTGCTGACATGGCCCTATATTGCTAGCTCAGCAGTTACTGCTGATCCTGGCCCTAATCTTGACATTAACAGTGTGTCCATAATTAAACTGACCTTAGCACTGAGTAAAAGGTAGAACCAACCTTGATAATGTATAACGGTTAACTGTTAAACTGACCTGGCAAAGTTTAAAATGGCTTAACAAAATCTGACAAGGACTTATGGTTAAACAGATCCTGATTATGTTTATTAGGTTAACTGATCTTGACAGTCACTTTTATTTTTGGTGTCATGTTATAGATTCCAAAAAGTTACTTGTTAATCAAACTGGCAATTACCAGAACCATGCTTTTCTTCTGATGCTTTTTAGTAATTAAAGTTATAGTTAAAGTGGTTTAGTATTTTGGATGGAAGTCAAAATACTTCTATGTTTATATTTTGCTACTTTTATGGCCAAAGATGTCACATTCAGAGGTACTTTTTTTTGGTGATCAGCATCTGCCAGAGGTAGACCTGTGCCTTGCTCTAAAACCATTACCATACCCTTATAGAACTCTAAAGATGGAAAAAAAACTATAAATTTCTGAGGCATTATGTGCCTTTAAACTAAATATGGTAGGGTATATAAAGTGGAACTAACCTCAACAATGTGTATATTTAACTGAGGGTGAGTAACAAATCAATTACTGACCTTACAGTGAGTGGAAAATCAATAGACCTCTACATTGTGTACAAGGTTGATCTGTCTTTGGCAAAGCATAAAAGCTATACTAACCTTGACTGTGTGCTAATCACACATTGACAGCAAGAATATGATTAGACTTCTATACAGTAACAATAAGGTTAACCTTATTTTGACAACGTGCATTATATTAAACTTAACCTTGACAGTAACCATGAGGTTAACATTAATTTGAAGAGTATTTTATTAAACTCAACCTTGACAGTAACTATAAGGTTTATCTTACATTGACAGTATATATTATATTGAACTTACCTTGACAGTAACTATAAGGTTTATTTTACATTGACAATATGTATTATATTGTACTTACCTTGACAGTAACTATAAGGTTTATTTTACATTGACAATATGTATTATATTGTACTTACCTTGACAGTAACTATAAGGTTTATTTTACATTGACAGTATATATTATATTGAACTTACCTTGACAGTAACTATAAGGTTTATTTTACATTGACAATATGTATTATATTGTACTTACCTTGACAGTGATTATAAGGACAAAGACAATAACACACCAGAGCATCAACCATTGTTCCTCCATCTCCATGATACGAGTCATACCTGGATAATCAGCCTGTCAAACAAAAACAACAGCTCAATGTTACCATCTTTATACTGTAATATTTTGTCAATCTTTGCACTAAAAAATTCACTAGTACGAGGGTTGATCAATATATTCATGGACGCTAATAATAACTAATCAAGATATTATAAAGAATTTTTGATATTTAGGAGAAGAATTGAATACTATTACAAATATATTGTGATTTTTAAAAAAAAATCTCATTTTGTTGATTATATGTATCGCCATAGCAACCCTATGCTGTCCGAACGCCGCAGCTTAAAAAAAGTTATGTTTACCATTTTAAAATACTTAAAAAATATCCTTATTTTGGCGTGCTTCTTTAAAATATGAAAATGACGGCAATGTTTTTCATATCCATTATAGAACATTTAAAAAAACAAGCGTCGCTACGATTTCTATTGTTTGTTGGTGATGTCAATGGTGACAGGGATGTGTCACCAGAGAGGAGCACGACGTTGTTGAAGCAGAGGGCAGTAATTAAGTTATGTGTAAATCTTGGTATAAAGACTAAAGAAAATATGGAAATTGTATCTGGCACAAAAAACGTGTCTCATTTGTTAGTTTGTAAGTGGCATAAACGCTTTAGTGAGGGTAGAGAAGAACTTCAGGATGATAAGAGATGCTACAGACCAACAAAAACTTGTGCGATGCGAACGTTATGTGAGTGAAATGGAAGGCAGAGTTAAAGGGACACAAGTTTACCGGGTTCCATGATTTACAGTTCATGGCATTGTCTGTGTTGCGTTCATTTGATACTTCATTTTATAAGAACATTTTCAGTCAGTGGGTACACAGGCATGAACGATGTGTAGAAGTTGGTGCTGCATTTTTTTAGAAGATGTTACGCCTCGTCACAACGTAATGTAGGTTGCGAATGAGCTGCGGCGATCAGCTTTACATATATTTCTTAAAAACTGTCATTTAGGATAAAATATACAAATTATTTATCTGAAACTTACACATGAATTGATAAATGATTGAATAAATGTCAAATATAATTATATTAACTTTCCTTCCCCGAAAAAACAATTTATGGAGTGTGTCCACGAATATATTGATCAACCCTCGTATTAATAAAAATATGACCAAAAGTATCATCATTTTCAAGTTTTATGTATAAATCACCAACTTTATACTGAATATGGGTCAGAGCAATAAATATGAAGAAAAGTGAAATGCTACTCTGTGACCATGCTGAAATTAAGACAACACCATAAAAAATGGCACTTTCAAAAGAATCAAACAGTATTCTTCTTTAAATAATTAGAAAAGTGACCTCAATTAAGACCCTGTTGCTTATCCAGTATTGCGAAAGATTCTAAGTTAATTAAAAAGGGGCATAACTATTTCATAATTATGTCAACTGCACCTTGTCATGACCAGCTTTTGTGTTGAACTTTACAAATGTTTGAATAACGGGCTACTTAACAACATTTTGCACATTACAATGATGAGGCATTCATCAATATAGCTTGACCTTTTCTCCAAAACAGCTGAGCTGTATATGAAATAATCTCTTACCAATCCTTGTTGAATAAGCCAGACTTTGACATCAGGAGCATAGGTCATGTAGCCAACAATTGTAAGACAGGTTAAACAAAAATCAAACACTTGCAGACAGAAGAATGGCATTAAGCAGCTTGGACGACTCTGTAACAAAAACATGATAAAACTTAGGAAAATAATTCTAATTCAAAATTAATTACTAAGAAATTCTTAAAATGTAACAAAGGTGTTTGTACAGTACAGGTGAAAATAGACACTGCTTTTTCTGACATATAAAAAATATACTTTAACATAAATTAGCCTTTTTTTATATAAATAATGATAGTACTGTAGAGTATAAATAATGACCGACACACAAAGTCTACAAATATCAGTCTGACATGTAACTAAATCTCTCTTTTTTCATGTTCAATTACCATCCAACATATTCTCTTTCCAAAATATGTTTGATTCCCGTTTAAGAAATGTATATCCTCAACATCAACGGAATAATAAAACGACAGCAACACAACAGCTTTGCATCACCCACACTGGTTTTGGAAAAATTGTTCAAACAGTTTCAACTCTATATACAACTATATAGCATGTGTAAACTAAATGCATGTACAATGAGTACTGATAATGGATGCTGTACATATCTGAGCAAAATTAATACAGGACTATCTAAGAATGCTACATACTTAACGGAATAACCTAGTGATGATTCAGCTATTACTGTATGCAAGCACTTTAAAAGGTTTTTTTCTATTTTAAGCTCTACAACTCCAGCGGCTAATAGATTAAAGCACCATCCTTACACAATATAATTATTAATAGTCCAATGTGAAGTTGAACTCTGTGTAAGTTATTTACAAACTTTTTAATCAAATGAAATTTATTTTTACTTCAAATATGAGAATTAAGTATCATATAAATACGTAGTACATGATACTTACCCTCAATGCACCATATACAAGCATCAAAGCCACCAGGAATGTACACAATACCAGGGCAAAGAACAAACATAAGTTTTCTGTAAACAAAGTGAAGATAATACACTATAGGTATCACTGACAGGTAACTTGACAAATGTTGTAACTACCAGGCTATTTCTTTAAAGGTCCATTATGCCTTAGAAATGCTTTTATTATTAATTCTCACAAGCTTGAACCATCTTTTTCATCCACTGTTTTAATGCAATAAGTACGAGCTATAGTAATATTAGTATTTTGTATGGAAGTCAAAATACTTCTTCTACTAGCCAATGTTTCATGCTAATAACAACTTGGTAGAAGTCTACTAGACAATGTTTAAATTTGAAGAAGCTTTATATCAGAATTATTCCTGCTAGGTTATAACAATATTGGCCCAGCAATTAAATTGTTTAAACAAAAAGTTGACAGCACAAGACAATTAAGCCCAATCACAATAGTTCACCTTCAGCAAAAGAAGCAGAAATGATATTTCTATATATAGATCTTGGTATGACAAGACAAAGGATGTTATCAGCAACTTTCAGCTCAATGAACTTCCTCTAGGTTGCTGCCGCCGAGCATCTGCTTTAACATATGAACATTCATAATGCATTGAACAGAAAATAAAGATCTACATCTTTGATTTCTTTTCTCTAAATTTGAACAACAAGCAAATAAATTAATTGATTATCAAATGACCATTATAAATTTTGCAAAACAAAAACGTCTTTTTAAAGTCCCAGCCAGGTGTTTGCCTTTAATAAGGGGATAGAAAGATAGTCATCAACTTTGTTGACTAAGTTAATAAGTACCAACCTTTTCTAAGTTTAGTTGTGGAGTTAAAACTTGGTGTCTCGTACTGTATGATAACTTCCTGGTCATCTTTCTTCAAGTCAGCACTCTCCGTCTCGTACACAACAATACCATCTGTATTCATTGAACTTCCAGGCTGTACACTGTCACGTAACAGCTCTGGATGTAGAGAAGTTGACACCAGACATCCCAGCACCAGCAAATGTATCAACTATAACATATATAATACTTATTTCTTTAAAAAAGAACTTATCAATTAATATTTCTTTAAAAAAGAACTCATCAATTACAATATAGAATGGCAGCCAAAGCTTCCACATGGGCACAACATTAACATGAAACATTTACCATACATTAATAATTAATATTTATTTAATGGTCTATTAAAACTACTACAAGTCAATATATATATATGAAATCTTCAGTAGGTCTATTGCCTAATAAATAAAGCTGTAGGGGTCAGATTGCTGATGCTTTTTAAATGAGGGTCAAAAGATTAATGCAGTTCTGATTGAAATGCAGTTTTAAACATCATTTAAATATTTTGACTTACTTGCTCATTATTGTTTGCCCAAAGTTTGCTTTGAATATTAACTTACTACAAGAGGACTATAATGACCCTTAATCGCTCACCAGAAACAACTGTTTTTCAGTGTTAGAAATAATTTTTCAAAAGAACTTGCCAAAAGGCAAGTAAAGCTCAACTTCAACTTTCCCCTCTACTTATATAATTTCATGACACTGATTTTTTTCTTCATAATAAAAAAAGGAACCTTTCACAAATGGCCAAAGTTCATTGTTACTGTACATCTACTGTAACAAGTAAAGCATGCCAACTCACACTTTCAATAAAAGACTACCTAAACACTACAGACAAAGTTTGGTGATCATCCATCAATACGTTCAGAAGAAGATGTTTAAAGGTTTTTCTACTTTTAGCTTTAGAGGCCCTTAAAAGTGGCCATTAAAATTAATACGAGCAAATTTGATAAAAGACTATCTAAGAATGCGGTGATCATCCATTGATTAGTTCAATAGAAGATGTTTTAAGGTTTCTCTATTCTTTGCTCTGTTGACCCCTCAAAGGGGCAATTGAAATAATATGAGCAACTTTTAAGTGTGACTGTCACAAGGATACTAAAGACCAAATTTGAAGTAAATCTGCCAAGCAGTTTCAGAGAAGATGAATGTTGACCCAGCATCCCCCTATGGTAATAATAGCTCACTCTGAACCTTTGGTTCCATAAGCTAAAAAATACAGAACTAAAAATCCTAGTCATTGTATGATTTCTTATAAATTAGTTATCAATTATTCAAAACAAATATTAAGCAATCTATTACATGCAATTTTTATTACAGGAAAAGTAAGGTTTAAAAAAAAACCTTTAATATACTGTAGATATATCTAACAGTCATACCTCTGGCATGTACCTGGACATGCCTACATGTAAAAGAGTACAAGAAGGTTAAAAAAAGTTTGAAGAATTTAAGATTAAAATGTTAGAATCAAAAGGGCTGAAAAACTAGGGTTAGATATGTTCATTGCTAGATTATCTATGTCTGTACTGTCTACTGAACTGCTCTGGGGTGAAGAGTGGAGCAACTAAGATGGGCAAGTGTTTCAATAGGAAACAGCCCTAGGAAAGGAAGAAAATTTGTAAAGTAGCTGAGGTTGCCGTTAATAACTTATAGCTCAGGGGATGGCCATGGCATGATGTATATGGAGAGGGGGTCTAGTTTTCTTTGATGGCATATCTGATAGCAACCAGACCCTGAAAATATTGTAGAATTTTAACACGCTATATTATGTATATAAGATCTGGCTTTTTTCTAAGTGGTGGCTAGCTGTTTGAACCTGTACTGTTAGCCGATTATAGTTTAGGTTATAAATACTGTTACACAATAATGAATGTTGTGTTTGTTTTTGTATTGAAATTCATATTTCTAAAGATTTTATTGTTTGTAAAGATTTTATTGAATATCATGAAAACTTTATCAATTACAGTGGATATTTTAATTTCTGGCATATGATGATCGAAAGTTTTTTTTCCCTCATAACAGATTTTGATTATTAATTTAATATCTGTGCTAAAATATGATGAGAAATAAACTGAAACATAATTAAATCATTTCTATGGACAATATAGCAGTAATACATTTGTAACAAAATATTATGTTTATCACTTTTAAAGCTGCACGCCTACAGATGAGCCAAAATATTTCAAGAAATTTAGTCTTTAGAAAAATGTATTAAGATCTTAAGGAAGTAAAAAAGATTTAATATTTAATTAATAATTTACATGTTATGTGCGATTAATGACTTATTTTGCAGTATCAATCACTAATTTCTACTGCGTTACTAATACAGTAAGAAGAATTTATGTATATTTTGACCTCTTTTTCAGACTTCCCTAAATATGTCGGTCCGACGGACATGTCCGATAAATTTTGATCAGGTCAGACGATTTTTTATTCCGGATAGGTCCGACTTTTATCCAAGCCGCATTTATACAAAATGGCGTCGCTAAAGGTGCCAAACCTGGGGAAAACGAAAATCTAGTAACGTCAGAGGAGCACACGCAGAACAGCAACTAAAGGATGAAAAGAATAGACCTGAGACAAAATTTAATGAAAAATGGAAGCAGGACCATGAATCATTGTTGTACGACAGGGAGGAGATGAAAATGCGCTGTACAGAATGTGCAGATTTTTACTGCGAAAATATAAAAGCCAAAAACTGTCTTAAAAATACAAACACAAGTTTTTCTTTGATTTTGATCAATTTTATTCGGTCTGACAGCTTTCGTTTGGGTCTGACAGATTTTCATGGTTTATCAGACCGAATGTCTGACAGTCTTTTTTAACTGTCGGGAAGTCTGCTTTTGGGTAACTAATTTACGTGGATTGTAAGTGCCGTTTACAATGTGTAAATTTTTTTTTTGTTCACTTCACAATATTTTACTTTTAAATTCATTTTCAAAACTTTCATGAAAATTAGCATGAATCTGGAGCCATGCTGCTTTAATGGGCATTGAAAATTATTTTAGTGGTCCCCCGTAGGACATATACCAGAAGTGTTCCTCCTACGTATTCACACAGATACAGATAGTGACTCATGTAACTTTTTGGTAGAAGTACAGGCCCAAATGGCTAGCCACTTTTTTGTGCCATATATATATATATGACATTCTGTGGCAGGTTCTAAAAATGATAGCCCTGACCTCGGATCAGAATGTGAGCTTCGGGATTATTTTCATAAAAATGGTCCCAGGTCCCTCAATTCATGAATACTAGCCGAATTTGCTTTTTTTTTTAATTCCCCACCCATCACAAGTCATTTTATTATGTTTAACAAAACTGAATATTTACAAAATAATATATAAAAGTAGATTCTACCAAATGCCACAGCCCTAACAGGATTGTCCCAACTCTAACATGACAACAGAAACAACATTTATATGCGTTTGAATCTTCAGAGTCGTATTTCGATCTCATTTTCTTTCTTGTCTATTGATCTTGTTTTGTTTTTCTTCCTCACGTCATTCAACAATATTTATTATTAATGTGCAAAGTAGTTCGCGAATTACTGTTTTTGAAAATTTACGATAGTTTATGATTTGAAATGGTCCCGTATATTATATAAATATTTTCAAGACGGATTTCCAAAAGAAATACTGGCACATGGAATTCTCCATAAGGACATTTCTGAATTTCTTAGGATTTATTTTTTACTAAGTTATGCGGTCTTCTCGCAACTTTTCACCATTTCCGGTTTATGTATAATAATAGCCGAGGATATTCCGATTGTCTTTCGGACCACGGACACTTCGGACATTATAACGATTCGCCCAGTTGATGATTCGACATAATTTATATTAAACGCAATTCTTAATAATTTAGTGTGAACATTTTGTATTGTTTAGGTATGTCACAGATTGAAATACATGTTAATGGCAGTTGCACGGCGTTCCATAGTTTTTTTAAGCGGAAACATCGTGCACGCACGTACGTTTTTATTCGGTTGCGTTTATTTTTTACTGTGTATGTTTAACTTCCGTTATATTATATATACTGATACTCATCCGTTCTGCTTTGATACTTTGTCTGATTATTGTACCAAAAATTGTTTAACTGTTAATCTTAAAAAGACACAATTGTTAGTATTTGGGAAAGGCAAATTTGATCCCAATTAGTCTTTATTATAGATAAACAGTAATAAAAATATACTTTACAACAAGTAACATCTTACACATATTTAGGTATTTTGATCAGTTCAAATGGTTAATTTACTGTTTGTCCAGAAAATCTGTATAAACGTGCAATTTTAGCTTACTTTAAACAGGTACGTATATTAACATACATACCTGCTTTAAACTACCAAGATATTTTGTTGATGTGAAAAGTAGTATAACAACATTTTTAATCTTATTTTTATCATACTGTTAAACCCATTCTTTTATATACATGTGAAATTTGGGGTAGACCCCCTCTACCGTGAATATTAACTCCTGTATTGTTAAAACAGATGATGATGATGTTGAAAACTCATTTAAAACTTTTATTGTGAAAAAATTGCACATGCATTTTTGGAGTTCATAAATATTCCGCAAATGATGCTATCAATTATGTCATAACCAGAAACTCAAAGTAAGAAATAATCAGTTTTTATAGAGCAGGCAGACACGTTATTACTTCACAAAGGCATAAAATGAATAATACACAAAATGATTATCCTAAATAATTCATACTAGTTACGACAATTCTATTATAACAAAAGTCACATGATAAATAAGATCGAATTAAGTAACAGTGACCATTAACAGCAAAATAACTAATATGAATACTACAAATCCACCAGAAAGAAAGACATATAAAAGACAATACAACCTAAATAATACTAGACTATACAATTATACACATAGGCAAGCATTATACACATATATGATTAACCCCTGCATATACGTGTAGCAGTATACATTGAAAGCTCAAACAAAAGTCAACAAATGTACATGTACATAAAGCGGAAAACATCCATTAACAAAAGAACATGGCAAAAGAAACAAACAAAATACAAGAATACAATACACACAAAATAGAAAAAAGGGTTGGAGGGAGTGGCGATTTTTTTTTTAAAAGCGTCAATCAACAAACGTGTCTTACAAAACTGTAACCAAAATAGCGCCAAAAACGACTATTTATAAGAAAAAGCGTAGTAATACAAATACTATGGAAACTGTCAAGCATGAAATTAACCTTTAACCTAACAAGGACCAATCAGAAAGCCTGTTATATATCCATAATTAAAAGATTTTATTTAGCAACAAAATGCTTCACATTTTATGTAAATATCAACAAAATACTTTAGAAGGCTTTTATACTCAAAACCAAATTCACTGATATACTCTGCATTTCAAGAAAATTTATCCTTGCATGCAAACAACAAATATAGTTGGATATCAAGTATGATCTTTGTTTTAGATAAACTAAAAGTAACCAAGCATCAGTATTATAGTAAGAATTTATCGAAAATTGTTAAAAATCATAGCTGTTAGTGAGTTTAAAACCAAATGGGCAGAACGATAAGATACATGCTACAAAAACACGGTGGAAAATTTAGAACTTATTTAAAATTTCATAAAAAGTTTCATGTATGAACTTTATTTGGACGTTATTAAAGGTCCTGCTTGTCTCTTACTAAATTTCGAATTAGAAATAGTAACGGCATGTTACATGTTTATCAAATTTCCATTTATTCTTCGCGACATATTTAAGGTAGAACGCGACACTTTGCGAACTTTTGAGTAGCGTCTTGAAAATTGGCATGCAAAAAGTTAACCATATTTCTGATTAGGTTCCGTTGATTTTATTTCAATAGTTTCAGCCAATTTTTGTACATACGGCGTCAAAGTTGACCATCAAAGCCAGTTTTTGAACATGACGTTGTTGCGTATGCTTGGCAACTGTTACGGGTATTTAAAATGTCTTAAATTCTACAGCATTCGACAGAAATTATTTTTTCCTTTAAGCTGATATAAAATTTCTTGTTTTACGCCGACTCAATTTTTTCGGTACGTTTGATTTTATTTCCCCCACCCCTTTGGATAAAAGTCACGCTATCACGGGACGTTTGTTATTTTTATGTCATTAAAACGTTCGCCCTGTGTCAAAATCCCGCTATAAACGGAATTTTATGCTATTATGATCACTGCAGAAAATATATGGATACAATAAAGGGTACGGAGTACCGAATATTATAGATAGACAGGGAAAAATAAGTGAAATTTGAATACTTAGATGTACGGGACCGTGTATCATGCAATATGTCTAATATACCGTGATCCGTACACGCGTAATATACTGGAATTTTGTATGATGTCCTATTTACTAAAATACGTAATATTTTTAATTACAAGGTCAGATATTTCCAAAATATGATTTTTTTTTATTCTTGCAAATAAACTTTTTTTTAAATAAAACAGTGGCGGCATGGCCGAGTGGTTAACGCGTCGGACTAGTAACACACCGTACAATCAAATGGGCAGACAGCTGTTCCAGCGTCGACAGCTGTACCAGTATATACATGTCGGCGCGGGGAATACAATTGACGTACGGTAAGTATTCATCTATTTTTAACATATCCAAACTGTGTTCGAGTAAATCAATGTTATGGATTCATAGTCAACATCCAAAGGAGCATGCTAACAAATTTCTGGCCCTGTGCAAGCTTTACTTCACGTGAATTTTGACTGAAAATAACCACACTATCCGATGAGATGCGGTATTTTTAGTTTAAAGTCACAAAAACTTATATTTTCTCATGATAATAAATCCTTTTTTCATACGATTCGTAAACGTCAACATTTCGTCATTAAATATTCCAAACCATACCTTCAAAAAAGCTTTTCTGTTAAAGTTATAAGGTATTTAAGTTTGAGTGTCATCAAAATTTTAGTAACGTCATCAGCTGTTCGCCTCTTTTTAATGATAACATCGACAGCGATTCATCGGCAAGAATGAATAACGCTGAAAGCTGTTCAAAGAAACAATTTTCAGCGCTTTTGTGCTACAATAACTAGGAAAGAGTAAAACATTTTTGTTCATTTAAAATATTACTTTATTCATGATACTTTCTAATTATATTATTTTTATTATAACTTTCTATTATTTGTTGTATCTTAGCTAAGAGACCTTAATCTCCATTTATCACACTGTATTTCAATATAAAAAGGTAGCAAGATCTATTAAAGGGACTCCACTAACGTTTTCTTGACATGACGAGTCTGGAAATATTTTTTTGAGATTATTTCTCCATTTAATGTAGATCTATACTCTGTCAAATTGTTGTAATAGTTTTTGCTTACAAATGAAATTCAAAATCTGGTTTTTAATAGGTGAAATAAAATACATATCACTCACAGTATATCACTCATAGTGTGGGTAATACATGTACAAAATTTATAGCTTTGCAGAATTTTTTTGCACACTGCGTATTAATATATGATTGAATTTCCGTAAATTTCTAAAGTTACATAAATAATATAGTTGCTTTTTGTTCCTTATGGCATATTTCTCGATTCAAGTTTATTAATTTTAATTTAATACAATATCGATACGTTACACCGCAATGATAACACTCCGCTGTATTTGTTTGCGCAGCGTACGCGTTGCCGTTGAACGCCTGACGTCATTTTCTGTACATTCGTCTGTTTACAATTCCATATGAAGTTATTAATCATGCTTAAAAACAAGAAGAAAATTTTTTTGTTTTCCGTACATTTTTTTTCAGCAAACATAAACGTCACAAAATGGAAAGGCAATAATAAATTCAATAAAATTGCACTTCGACCAAGCCCATCATAGTTAGACAATTGTTGTTACATATCTAGGAGTTTCGTTCACTGCTGACAGTTCCTTTTTGCTCAAGTAACATTTTATATTGAAATGTATCTGTATTGAGAGTTTATTTGGATTCCATTCATTGCTTCTGGTCAGAAAATCGAGTATATATTAATCCGAAATTGTGACGTGCTCGTAAAAAATAGCGCGTATGTTATGAATAAGCAAAAATATCAACGCCTAAATCTTTTAAAAATATAAATATGCTTTCTCATCGTCAGGTCTCATTTCAAATTTTAAGCATTTGCAATGGAACATTGTTGTTGTTGTTTCATATGTATAAGTATAACTCTAGAACAATTCTCCTCATAAGCTGAACATTATTGCCGCACTTTGAAGTCTCAAACGTATCTGTATACGTCGAATTTCGTTACAAAATTACTCAAAGGGTGGGGGAAATAAAATCATGAGTACCGAAAAATTTGAGTCGGTGACCCCATTTTTTTTTTCGTTATTTTGACTAAGTATACATTTTAAAGGACGTTTAAAGAAAAAAAAATCAAAAATTTATTTCAGGAATTTTTTTAAATAAGCCGCTTTAAAGCCGAAAAATGCGGCCAAACTGAACGTCAAATTTTACACAAAATTGACAATTTTCTTTCCATTTTTCAAACATTTTTCGGCGTAAACAAGAAATTTTATATCAGCTTAAAGGAAAAAATAATTT